TCATTCCTAAAAGTCTTCTTTTAAGCTTTCGATATGCCGATTATCACTATGAGGGTTTGGTGAGACCCTGTCTACTCGATTACCCATCGTAGGTGTGTGGGGTCATTTCACTTTGCATCGCTCTCCGTATGGATGGTTGGTAGGTAGTACAGCTTCTTTGTGTCGATTCACCCAAATCTGAAGTTCTGCTTCGATTTCCCTTCCTTTCATTGTTACTTTCTCCATGGTATCATTTGAGCTCTCAAAAACAGAAATGGATCATCATAATTAACAAAAAGGCGTTCCCGAAAGTGTCCGCTTATCAAAAAGTGTGGTTGTTGAAGAGAATCCATCTAAGCCAAATCCCTGTTTTACATCAATGTCCAAATCACATCATTAGAACCTTTCCACCTTTCCTTCCTCTCCTCCCTTGTGCTTCACCCCCTTATCACCGCCAACGCACCCCCTCGTCCACCCTAAGAACTCGGCGCTGGGCTCGGCGTATTTACCAGCGTTTCCGGACTCTCGCCCTCCGACTGATTCCTCGTCGGCAGATTTAGCAGGTTAGGATTATTGTTCGACGGTGGTGGCGGCACACTAGCAGCAGCGACCGCTTTGCCCTTTTCCGGTTTCGTCGATCTACCACGATTTTTCTCCTCGTCACTATCTTCCGCTTCTTCGAGGATCGTGGAGGTTCCGGGGGCGATGGCTACTACCACAGAGGGTGGTTTTTTGAGTCCATTGTTATTATTCCCGCTGGAGGGGTTACCGCTGCTGCTAATCAGGTTCTCATCGACGGGAGAAGCGGGGACGACAACGACTTTGTCTAGAGGGGCGAGAGGCCCGGCGGGGCCATGTTCTGTTGACGGAGGCGAAGGGAAGGATGTTAGTGAGGACCCGCCAACGGCAGCGGTTTGTTGTGGGTGTAGTTGTTGCTCTTCTTTCGAAGGCTGCTGCTGATGGGAGTTCTGGGACTTTGCTGCCTTTAGTCGCGAATCTCGCGCCAACACTTCCTTCGCCAGCCCCTTCACGCCAGCGACGATGATCTCGGGCCGCGTGAAAGCTAGCAATCCTTCAGCGTGTCCTGAGACGCGCTCTTGGAAGACGACGTCATAGACGGAATTGCCCCATGCCGGGCAGACGTAGGTGTGTTGTTCGGCTGAGTGGGCAGCGGCTTGGGCGCGGGACAAAGGGACTTGCTTGTTGAGAGTGGGGAGAGCGTCGCTTGATGCTCCTGCAGCAGCTTTGGCTGTTGTCGTTTCAGTGGAATCCTGTCCTGCTGCTGGAGATCTACTGCTGTTGCTCCCCGTGCCCGTGAAGACTGTTATCGCGACCTTGGGCTTCTTCCCGCTCAATTTGCTCGCGCTACTTTTTTCACCATCATCCTCAGGATAGGCCGCGCAATGCGCCCAGTACCTCATGGCCGTCTCCGGGCCGGGTAACCACAACATGTTTGTCAGCGTAATGATCTTCTCATGCGTGAAAAATGGCGAGGACAAGGCTGTTTCATCCAACCCCATGGCACGCAACCCCCTCAGCACGAAGACGAGCATGCCGGTAGGGGAGTCGCACAGCGCGTAAGCCAGCGTGTTGGGGTCCTCTGTGAGACCACCGTCGCCACCGAGAGCGTTCAGGCCCAACTTCCTCTTTTCCTTATTGGTCGTCTTCCCCCCGTTGCCATTATTCCCCGCCGCCCAAGCCCCCCAATCCTCCCCTTTATATCCCCACTTCTCCTTCTTCAACATCTTGGCCACCTTCCACTTAACCCACGCCCCGGTACCTTGCTCGTTTCTCGTTGGCGCTTTGAGGGGGGGAGCAATCAGGTGCGCGCCCAGGCACGACTTGGTGTGGTGCGTGGCCAGCCTGTTGACCACCCGGAAGTCGATGGCAGCCGGCGAGAGGTGGCCCGGTCCGGAACCAGTGACGAGGTACTGGGCGTAGCCAAGGCGGAGCATCAGAGTCTCGAGGATCGTGGCGGAGGCGGGGATGGGGGGGATGTTGGCTGGGAGGGCGTCGCTTAGACCGAGACCGGGGAGGGAGGGGATGACGAGATGAAAGGCTTGTTGTCTCGGATGAGTGCCATCTTCTGATGCCGCATCAGGATCTGTGAGAGGCTTGATGAGGTGCCCCAGGGACAGGTTGGTGAAGGGGAACGGAGGGATCAGGAGGAGAGGCACGGCCTCGGGGTCTGGAGAGCGGGCGTGGATGAAATGGACTCGGAGGGCGGCGTTGCCGAGATTCAGAAGGGTGATGGTGGTGCGGAACTGGGGGAGGGTGCTGTTGAGCGTGCTTTCCGCTTCGCGCCAGGAGTATCTCTCGAGCCTATGCAGGAGTTACATGTTAGTCTAGTGTCCTGCTGCCCCTAAACCCATGACAAAATATGCCATCTGGCGTCGGTGTTGTGCATACCAAAAATCAATGAGCGGTTCCACGATCGGCTTCGGCTCCCACCAATCTTTAGACCTGTTGCCTGAGCTGGAACCTTCGTGGGGAAGACGAGTAAGCTCGAGCTTCTGTCTGGTGAGGTCAAGATGCTTGGTCGGGATCTGGTGATCGCGGATTAGCCAAATGTCTCAGCATAAAGACGAGTTGAGCTAATGTACTCACATGAATCTTATAAGCCTTCACTTCCTCATCCGGGGCAACCTGGACATCACTGCTCGGATCCGCCATCGTAGATCCCGCTATATTACCTCTCGTTTCCAAAGAGCTTGTTATGCAGTATTCGAAGCTCTGGTATGAGAGAACGAGAAGATACTTCTGGTCAGTGAATTACAAATGTGACGATTTAACGAAAACGACAGTCGAGAAATCGATCGAAAGAGTTCAACGGTAAATAACAAAACAAGGTGAGAGGTTAAAATTTCAGTGCCACCTAGACACGCAGCGGTCCCTCAACGAGATATGGATATATGTAAGAGGGGAAGGAAGGATTAAATAATAACAGAACGAAGGAAATCTTCAGCCACCAGCCGGAGATATGGGTATAGACTGGAGAAAATTAGGAAGATGTAGGGGACTAGGTGGGTAGGTAGGTAGGTAGATGTGGTCGGTACAGAGGAGGGAGGAGGTAGGTATAGTGCCATAGAGGCACCCCCCCCCCAACACCCCTTTCTCTCTCCTCCTCCTCTTCCTCCCCTTTCCTAGTTTGTAAGTACAGAAAAGGATATTTCAGGACCTGCATGCGGACTCGAAGAAAGCTGTAAAGCCGTTGGCGCACCTTTGTCAGGCCATCCAAAAGGCAAGCCAAGAGAAAAAGTACCTAATTGTTGCTGCGCTTATGCAAAGTCGACTAATACAACCGTGTACATGGGTACTGGGCGGAGATAATTCTACTGCCTGCAGCCAGCAGCCAGCATGTGCGCCCCAAAAGTAATAGCGCCAGAAAACCAGAACACCGGAAACGAGGAGAGTACGTTGACAGGCATTTTCCCAAGCCATTCTAGTGTATGTATGTATGTATGTATGTATGTATGTATGTATGTATGTATGTATGTATGTATGTATGTATGTATGTATGTATGTATGTATGTGTGCACTTCCCTCCCTCGGGTACGCAATGGACACTACCCGCATTCTTCTCCTGTATGCTGGATGTACAGTTGTCGGATTATTGCTATTGTAGTTTTGGCCTCTGTTGTTTGTGACAAGCACCTACCTAGTTAGGTCTAACTACTATGTAGGTGCTTGTCCCCCCCCCCGGGGTCTATATTCCCCTGTTACCTATCGCATCACAGACTTCTTTCTTTTAACTTTCTTTGTTGCACAACCGGGAAACTTCAGTTGCCGACATGCGCGTGTCTTTGCTTTGGCTTAGCTTGGCCATTCGGAGGAAACCCTACGAAGGAACCCAGGATCTGGCATCCGGTACAATGAAAGGACGGCAGCAATGCGCGCTATATCGCGTGGGTATGATACCGTAGTCATATTTAAGGGGTCGGACTAGGTCGGGTAAGGCCCGGGGGTTGGGCCTGTTTAACTTGATGGGGGAGGGGGGGTGGGTGTCCAAACTGACGACAAGGTCACAAGCCTGCAATGCGAGAGGAGGGGCGATATAAGAGGAGACAGAAAGAAAAGAGAAAGACGGTCTCGAAGTCAAGAAATGGACGATGCCAAATCCTCAAATCATGGGACAAAGGGACTTGTCTGTCGCATATCCACATCTACATGGAATTCTAGACTTCACTAGATAGGTGAATAGTCCTCCATTGATGTCCCTTCCACAAGACCAATAGGCGTCCATCGTCATCATCCCCACGAACCGTTGGACTTTCACTTGACGCGCGCCGCGCAAAAACGCACCGCACCCTGGCGATCTCACAACCACCCGCCCTACCACCCTGCCGCCTATCTGTGGCTAGAGCACCACCCTTGCACAATAGAACTCAAGGCCTTCTACCCCCAATTGGCCGGTTTCCCCAATTTGCCGCGGCAGCAGCCACATGAGCCGTGCCTTGGAAGTCATGAAACAGTGGCGGTGCTGACGAGTCCTTGCATCAAGATCCCTACCTGTACTTTGTGAACCCTTGCAGGGTTTCTGAACGGGAAATTGATCAGCAATTTGACGATTTGACGATGGGATGGGATGCAATAGCAGTGTGCCACTACCTATGCTGTCTTGGGTTTGTGCCTGCGGGGGAAAGTTTGGGGTTCTCTCACTTCTGTCCTTTATAAAAAAAAAAAAAAAAAAAAACACCGAGGTTCTGTTGCCCGGGGGGAGCAAGGCCGAGAGAGGGACAAACCCTAGTTAATAGCGAAGACTGAGCGCACTTGAACCAAGCATCAAGTAACCGCGGTACATGTCACATCACCGCTTGACAACATGTGGGGACTTTGAGATGAGGGTAAAGCGACTGGTCTTGCAATCATCAACCAAATTCGAACCAGACGCATTACGTATGTTACACACCCACCTGCCCAATTGGTATTATGTTTTTTATGCTACACGACATCGATGTAAGCAAGGCGTCCGTCTGCATTCGCCATTCTCTTGGTAGAGCGATGGGCCAACAATGTGGCTTACGGATGATCTTGAAGCTCATTATTTTGTTATGTACGTATCTCTGTAGCTGTTCTATCAACTGCACCTGGTCGAGCAGATCTGTGGGCGGCCTCCCTTGGACTTTATGTCCGCCCATCGTCCTTTTGCAGTCCTTGAAACCTCCTAGTATCACATCCTCAATACTCCACCCTCAGGCATGTTACCCAACAGCCCGAGAAGGCCGCTCACTTGTGGTGTAATCGATCGCCGCCACACGACGCCGGTCATTTTGTCGCCACAATGGCACCTCAGCCACAAACAAAACCAATGACTGCAATTTGTGTTCCCCCTATTTCCCTTCCAAGAATCATGCACAACAGCCAACAAACCAAGCTGAAACCCATCACCACACATTCTTCTAGCCGATCCGTCGCGGGGCCTGGGCTCCTCCTGGAGGAACAGCTGGACCTGCAGCCCCCCGGAGGTTGATAGCTCCGATGCGAGATACAATGTTGCTTCCAACTGCGTCCACGGCTCCACGTGGGGAAGTCAGCGAAGGGCCCTGTGCTGCCGTCTGTTGTACGTGGAAGAGCTTGATGTTGGTCGTATTCCAGATGCCCACAGTGCCTCTGGCAACCTGCATTTCGCTGGCAAAGACGAACCCCCAAAGCAGGGACTCGTACCATCCCAGCGCCATTGGCGACCATTCAAACATGTGAACCCGTACAGGCGAGGCATCCACACCAACAAGTTGGATCTCCTGGATCCTCTGTAAAACTGCCGGCGTGGGCGAGTCTGTAGCAAGGGATTGGCGAGGTAGCAGCGCTGTGAGCTGATTGATCAGCGTCAAGATGGTATGAAGCGGCAACTCTGGAAGCCAACTATCAATCCATTCTGCGGTTGGCTCAAAGGCCCCGGTCTGGGACTGGCCGGATATAGAGTAGCCGCCCAAGCTGGTTGTGCTGTTTTGCCGAGAGAAGCGCGGTCCTGCCGGCATCTTACCCCTGGCCTTTTCCGACATGCCTCGAAGCTGTCTAGGTACACCACTGCCATCCGCATGGGGCTCTACAGAAGATGCACGGGACGGATTCTCGCTATGGCTTGAGGGAGACGGGGTAGGCCGTTGCTCATTATCGCTGTCGTCATCGTCACCTACGGCGAATGCTCCATCCTCGGGAACATCATGGAGCGTAGGAACCTGCGTGATAGACGTTGTGGGGCTCCGCAGACTTTCCAACGAGCTCCTCGTCGAGTTAGTCTCCAATGGGTCATTTGAGGCCGCAGCCTCCTTCTTTTTTCGGTTACGTCTCTCTATCTCCTCCTGGCCACTTTCTAGTGTGAAAGAGCGTAGGGCTTCGAATCGCTTTCTATTCCTAATTATGGCGTATATGAAGTGAGGGTTCTCTGCGGGGAATTTATCAGAACACAAGTCAACCAACGCCCCAGTGATAGTGTGACTTACTCTTGTACTGATGCTCCACAATCGCATTGATGGACTCTAACAATGATCTTAGTAGATTATGGTTTGTGTCATTCGCCATCAGGAACGAAGGGGATGACATTGAGTTATAGAGTTGGATGAGTCTGGTGCAGGTAGATCCGCTGAGTCCCTCGAGGTAAGCGGATATGTTATTAATAACAGCCAGGAGCGCAGGATAAATAACGGTTAGCTTTCCCTGACTCTTGGTGATGAGATTATATATAGACTAGCGGCTGGTTAGAATCAGAGTCCCAGATGTGTGCTTGGGGAGACTCACTTGGATTAGGAAGTCTGCATAGGTTCCCCTGAAGCCAGTAATCCGGATAGCTGGGGGAAGCGTCTCTTGGGCCTCAAACATTTTGTTGAGGTTGATGCCGAAGTTCTTCTCTGCGCTGAGAGTCTGTAGCAGGAAAGCACACATCCTCACCACGCCCTGCTTCGATGCGTCGCCCTTGTATTCGAGCGCATAGAATAAAACGAAAATTACAAAGTCATGTGCTCGTTCCGTGTCGATCATGAAAGAGCGGAAGCGTTTATTGCACTGGGTCAGTTCCCAGAATAGCATGATGGTCTCGGGAGCGAACCGAACTGAGTTCTGCGCCCCTGGGATATAGGAAGCATTGGCCTGGAGCGGTTGATGCAGTATCCGCGTCATGCCATCCACGATGAACTGGAAATCTTGGGGCCGATGGAGTCTGCCAGCAAAGTGACGGTAGAAGTTCTTGGGGGTCAGAACTCCTGGCTCCTCTGGGACAGGATAGAGCAGAACCACCAAGAGAAATTGTAGGGTGTATGTGACGAGAATTTGTTTTGGATCCTTGAAAACTAGAGTGTTGTACGGCACGCGCCAGGTGGCAGGGTTATACTTGAGTGTCTAGCACATGGTTAGTATGTATGACTTGCGCGGACGGATATGGTAACTTGCCGTGTTCAGAAGCGAGCACAAGACTGAGAGAACCACTTGCTTGTCTGGACACGTGCATATGTGGGTGAGGGCCCGGGCTCCCTTCAGCGGCAAGACACTCGGCGACATATACATGCTTTGGCTCGTCAGGGTCAAGAGCAACCGCAAGATTTCACATCGGTTACTCTCATGCTCTTTGGTCGTCGGTATCGATGTCGCACAGCCCACGCCGCTCTGCCAGATCGAATAGCTGACCTTGGGACTGCCATGTGGTTGTCTTGGGACCGTCAGGTCGGAGAAGAACAGCAAATCGATCAGGGTGTCGATAAGCTCCTCGGCTAGCGGCTTTGCGTCCTCGAACTCTTCGGGCGGTCTAGGCTGGACCTCTTGCGACTCGTCGAAGAGCACTTCGTTGGCTATTAGAGACGTCCTGGTGCGTTTGCGACGGCGGGCCCAGAAGAAGTTCTCCTCCCAGGCTTGGAGCGACTCTTTCTCGTAGAGAAACGGGAGGATGCGGGTGAGGACTCGGATGCAGTTGAGAGCATGACTGTCGGGAGCGATCTCGGGATCGGGGAACGAGGGGTGGTGACGGAGTACAAAGAGTCGCGATGTCACGGCTAATATTAATGTCTCCAGATTCTCCAAGGCATTGTCTCGGGTTCGGCGAACGTCGGCAGGGGCAAATAGACTGAAGACGTCTTCCGAGGTTTCGGGCAACTCCCAGAACTACAAACAACCAAAAGTACCACGGTTAGCCCCGATTACCGCTAGATGTGGGTGAGGACAGGTTCATGAACATGTATGCAGGTGAAGACGACCGGACGCGGCAGCTGGGTATCAAGGACAATGGACTAGGCAATACTGACTGATGTCCAGTAGGTATCATCGGCGGGGATGTGTCGTTCTTCAGAGAGGCGGAAGATGCCCTTCTTGAATACTAGCTTAGAGTCGCTCGCACCCATTTTGGCAGCTTAGATACATGGCATTCATTGAGATCATGCCACAATACAAAATGAACCGGGGGGGGGCGGAGGTTGGGGAGGCAGAGATAGATCCGCTATTTCTCGTTTCTTGACGTGTCGGTGGCTCGTTGGAGTGGTGGCGGACTTCGTTGCGATTGATGGTTTGCAGATGGTTTGGGTCAGTGTGAAGTGCAACCGGCTCGTTACATCACAGGCTGCGACTTCAGTGTGTCGCTCTGTCCCGAGGGAAGCTAAAGGGAAGATTGGTTCCACCCGGGGAACCCCCCAGGGCATCGAATCGGAGGATTGATCTGGTCTGTGCGTTCGGGGGTCGGGCCCGCGCTCAGCACAGCATACATGCTGCCGTCTCATGCAGTTTCCTGTTGACGCATATATAACCCTAACCCAGAAGCAGCAGCAGCAGCATCATCACGATCTGGCCTTATCGACAGCCCGTCAAGGTGCCCTTCCCTACCTACCTAGTCGAAGTACATTCAAGCTGGCCAAAACCCGCCGTTGATGACAATAACAACAGCACCACCTGCCAACCTTTTCCGCCGAAATAACCTGGACCTGCTGATGAGGTACCCCAGGTGGCATTGGAACAAAGACCTGTGTTTATATCGACGTCAACGGGGCGCTGGCTACCCCCTCCTTCGGAGTGCATCTTGAACCCCAAGCTTCAAGACAACATATCGCCCACCATGTATACATCAGTAGTAAGGCTACAGAATGTATTTGGCTTTTTCACAACTGTCGCCTTTGTAGTCGCGGCCTTCATCGCCGCCTCCGACTTTCTTACCGAACGGGCGCCCATTGTTCGAACCCTCAAGACAACCAGTGTCCAAGTGTGAGTCGTAATGCTTGCACCTCCCATCATGCAAATCCCCCTGCTAACTCACTGCCAAATCTCATCAGTGTCCGAGGCCGACCGCACTACTACAGCAGCAAAAAGGAAGAATACGCCGTCATCAACTTCTCCCTCGACGCCGACCTCTCCTCGCTCTTCACATGGAACACCAAGCAAGTCTTCGTCTACGTAACCGCTGAGTGGCCAGCCGCCGACCACGCAAAGACGAACGCAACCAACGAGGCCGTGATCTGGGACACCATCATCACCTCCCCCAGTGCCGACCACCTGGCCAACATTGGTCCTGTGGCCATGAAGAAGCTGCGGAAGAGCGCGGGCGGGAAGAGCATCGATCCTAACCGGTAAGCAACTACCTACCTAACACATACCTCTTCTGTGACTTGTTTACCAACTCTATCCCTCCAACAATAGCGGCAAACTCTCACTCAAAAACCAACGCCACAAGTACAAAATCACCCACCCCTCCGGAAAGCTCGCCATGACCGACAATGTCACCCTCCGTTTGCACTACAACGTCCAGCCGTGGGTTGGTCTACTCACCTGGGACCAGGACGTCGACTACGGGTACTGGAAGGCTCTGAAGAACGGGGTGAGCAAGCGCTTCAAGTTGCCTGCGATTAAGGAGAAGAAGCCGGCGTCGGCGGGCGCCCGGTAGCCGTGACATGGTATGGGAGATGCAGGAGGGGCGAGAAATAAGGATAACTAGCATATCTAGAGAAGAAAGCGTAATAAAATTATGATAACGCCAACCATGCGCCTTGGGGGTGGAGGTACATAGGAGGGCAGTGTCGCAGTTGGTGAACTTCTGGAACTGACAGCAAGAATTGAGTAGTAAATGGAGCCCGCTCGTGGCAGCTCAGTTGTGAAAGAGGCACATGATCATGTCAACCAAATGCGGAACAGGAAGCAAACACCATATCCAGAATAAACCAGGGCCTGGACGTTCTTTGACGACGTAAAATTACCCTGCTCTTGCGTTTATTTGCACGACTCTTTAATGTCGAAGGACAAGCACGTCAAAATACCCTGGCAGTTTGAAGGTCAAGGCAAAGGGGAACGCGAAATATAGGCCATGTAATCTTTGTTTCCGCTATTCATATGTACACCAAACTTGAAAGGCAAACTCCACTCCACTATGTTCCTTGCTAGGTTTTTCGCAATACACTAGACTATGTGCTATGAGACCCGCTGTGAACCTACTCCAATTCATCCACACGGAGTAAAAACAACTGAAGTTCGACACTTCGCAAGTATATGCAAGTACATAATGTCCCATACGTTCAACACGTAGTGTTTTATGCTAATCGAGCCGCTTGTGCCTAGGGGCGCAACTACTGTGAACCGCTGCCCCTACCACCGCGACCAGCACCACCACGACCACGTCCTTCACCTCTACCCCGACCGCCACGGCCACGGCCACCACGGCCACCCCTAGGCGAATCGAGGCTAGCGGGAGGAGGAACCGCAGAGTACGCGCCGGGAGCTGGCGAAGACTGCTGTTGCGCTGCACCACTGAAAGTACCGCTGACGTTGGCGAGGGCAGGTGCCGACTGATCAGCACCTCCTGGCTTGCCACCGCGACCGCGGAAGTTACCCCTGAAGTTACCGCCACGTCCCCCACGAGTGCCTTGAGGGGAACCGGGACTAGGAGAACCCTTAAAGCCGGGGTCGGGTCCATACGGCTGTCGCTGGGGCTGCTGGTGACTGCTTGGACCATTGGGAGCCTGGCGGTAGGCGAGGTTGCTGTGCTGGTTCTCACCTTGCTGAGGACCGTTTTGCTGGTGAGGCGACTGATAACCTCCGCGACCACCACGGCCACGACCATTGCCGTGAATAGCACCGCGCCAGGTCCCTTGCAGAGGAGGAGGCTGGGGTGCGTCGCGGTATTGTTTGCCATTAGCCTGCATCCCGTAACCACCGTGAGCCGTCAGTGTGGTAACCGAAGGGTTGGTAGGCTGTCTAGCCATGGCTGCCTTGGAGCCAACAACGATTTGGCGGTGGGTAAGGTTGAGGCACGTGTGGGATGGCACCGTCTGGCCACGGAAAGGAGGGCACCGTTCACCGAGAGTGGTCCCACTCATGAAAGTAACATCAAAGACCACATCCAGTAACTTGGCCGTTGGGACGCGGCTGATACCCACCACAGTTCCACGGTAGGCGATGGGGACCTTGCCAACCTCAGCGACATAAACGACACGATCACCCAGGCTAAAGTGTTGGTTTCCAAGACGATGTTCCGCGTCACAAGGACGCAGCAGAGCATTGCGAGGGACGTTGGGCATCTTCTTGTTCGCTGCAGCTAGTTGTCCGAGCTGCAGCCTGTCGGCTTCAGCAGCGAGCCTCATGACAACATCGGAATCAAGCTGCTCTGCGTCAAGCGGCACTCGCTCCATCTGGCTGGTCTTGAGTGTCTTCAACCAAGCACCAATCTCCTTCACTCTGGCCGAGGCAACAGCCGGCTCGGGCCAGAGATCCGTCTCAGTCAGCTCGGCGCTAGAGGGATGCTGTTTAACGGCAGCAAAGAAATCTGGAAACTTGGTCATGTACTCAACGAGCATCGCCCTAGCAGCCATACTGAACTCCCAGCCGGTTTCGGACTTGCGGGAATAGCCAAGCACCTTCTGCTTCTTGCCCTCGAACTTGAGGTTGAGGCCCAGGTTGACCCGCAAGCCGCCAAGTGTTGTGATGTAGTATGAAGACGTGATCTTGCTCAGAGCAAGCGAGTGGAGGCCCAAATCCTTGGCAACCATGTATGACGGGAGATAGTGGTTGTCCCGTTGTGCGTCCAATATGATCTGGCGAGCAAAATCCGGTTCCCGCTCTTTCAAGGCGGCAAGCCAGACAACAAGCTTGTTGTTGCTGTAACCTTCAACTTCAACTGGGCGGCCATAGTTGAATTCGCCCAAGAAGAAACCAACGGACTTGATGGGAAATTCTTCCTCAAGTGGCAAGGCAGCCCTCTCGATGAAACGTTCATCCTCGTTGACAACCTCGTCGACGATGATCTGTGCGGCATAGTCCGTCTCCATGCCGGGAATCGGGCCGTACTCCTTGATAGTAGCGCCTTCATCAGTTTTCATCAGGCCCTTGAGCATGTGTACGTGGACCAACGATTCCACCTGACCTATCAATATACCTAGCCGTTTGCTGTAAAAGTTCTCGATTCTGTGAGCCGTCTTGCCCCATTGCTCGATGTCCCGTGGGGAATGATTGCGCGATACCACCTGTCCGCTACCGTCTTCTGCCAAATGGTAATCAAAAAGCTCGTCGGATACGCCAACGATTTTAGCCTCCTGAAGGAAAGGGTAGCCAACGAAGCAGCGCTTTCCAAGCTTGCGCTTCGCTTCCTCGACGTTGGTGCGCTTCTCCGTATCCAGGATATTGACGACCATGCTCTGATTGCGACTCTCCGACTGGAACACGTTAACGCCATGGAACCCGAGGGAGGCGGTGTATGGCAGAGTAGCGAGAGAAGGGAATCCGGCCAGCGCTGATTCGTTCAGCAGAGCACCGTCGGTCAAGCCAACACGATATTCCAGTCCCTCCACGGGCGGAAGATCGAAAATGTTCTCGATACAGTGGCAATGGGGAATGGGCGGGAAGATTCCGACAAGGGAGGAAGGGTATTCAAAGTCCACCGAATCGGAATAAGTGAACTTGAGGGCGACGCCAAAATCGTTCCTCGACTTCTCAACGTCCGAGAGAAGTTCGTTCTTGGGGCCCATTGCTGCAAGCAGCCGCTTCTCGTCAATGAAGGGAATCTTAACGACGGCTTCCCAATCCATCTTCTTGCCATTCATGTCAAGCTCAAAGTCTCTTGGGTAGAAGTCGATGATGGGAGAATTGGGGTTTGTCATAAGATCCCAATATGCTGTCGGCACAATCTTTTTGCTGCGGTCTGGCAAGACACCCATCAGCTGCTCATATGGCTTGAACGGCTGACCCATCTTAAAATTAAGGTCGGCATTCAGGCCTTTCATGATATCGGAAATCATGGGAGCGTAGTGGTAGCGATAGAACCAGGGCCAAGAAGCAATACCACGGTAGTAGTAGTAGAGCACCCATTGAAGACCCTGGACGTAATTCTCCGTCAACTTGCGGAGTTCATCCTCCTTGTTCTCCGGGGTCCAATCCTCGAACTTCTCGGCGTAATACTTGTCTTTCCACTCTTGGAACTTTTGTTGGTATTTGACCTCCATGGCAGCCTTCGAGTCGGCCGCAGTTAAATCCAGGACTTGGGCGTTGTCGTACTTCTTGATGATACGGAGAACGGCTGACTGGGCTTCCTCGTCCTCTTCCGACTCATCGTCTCTCTCGGGGAAGGACAGGATTAGGTGGCGGTGTCCCTCATCATCTTCCTTAGTTGCCCAAGGAATGTGGGCAGTATCAGCCAAGTCTTGGACAAACTTGCGGTCCTCGGCCTTCAACTCGGTCCCGAGGTCAAGGGTGTTAGTGCTCCTATTGGTAAGGAATTTCCTGATCTTCTGCTTCCAAAGGTTCTTCTGGTTCGTGGTGACGATGAGCTTGCCCTTGGTCTTGGCCTTTGCTGTCTCTGCCTCGTTATCTTCGAGCATCTTCTTGGCCCGAAGCCAGCTTTGATCCTCGTGTTCATGTTCGAAAAAGCGATACTCCTCCTTGCCGAGTTCTTCCAGCAGCAGGCCGAGTCTCTGGAGGTTGACCTTACCGCCCTCGTTGATATATCCGTCGCCGCGCGGAAGAATTTCTTTGTAGATCCTAAACATGAGCGAAAGAGCGCCTTCATTGATGTGAAGCCGCGGCAGGTTGGGAAGGAAGTCGTTTCCGACAAAGAATGCCATAAGAATGAAGTCGTCAATAACCTTTTCCATATCGAATGGAAAAGACATGGCTCCAGGTTTCTTGAGATCCTGGAACTCCAGCTCCAGGTACTCACGGACTATGCAGAGATGCATCAAATAGAAGTTTTGCTCCTCCAGTCCCTTTGCCTTATGCTTGGCCGGGCCGCGGCCAAAGGTAACTTCCTCGCGCAGAAGGCAGAAGTGAGGGTCATGGCTGAGGAGACCAAGCATGATCAGATCGGCGTCGAGGCCATACAAACAGTGACGGACGTTCGCGTCATAGTCGAGTTGAGCGCGCGCATTGCGGATGTACTCCATGATCTTGTGCTCACCCTCACCAGGGACCTCGTGTCCAGACAAGACAATCTCGGGCTGTTGCCAGTCCCTGTCTTCAGAGACCTTTTTATGGATGAAATATCTCAGCTGTTGCGAGAGCTTGGCCATGAATTCGGTTCCTATGCAGCTAGTTAGCCTCCGGGAAAACATTCAAGCGGGGACCAGCGCCAGACATACCAGGTGTAATGCAGTTACTGTCGAAAGGTTCTTCTTTGGGCAATTCCTTGCCCTCACGAATCGCCTTATCTCTAGCCTTCTCATTGTCCAGCGCAGTACGAAAACGACGAGCACGCTGTTGGTTCATCTTTGCGCGAGGAGCAACGCCATCTATAGCCATAAAGAAAAGCTTTTTGGGCTTGATTTTCCCGAAGAGATGTTCAATGTAGTTGAATATAGCAATGAACATCTCCTCCTCTGTCATGCGAAATTGTACATCGCTCGTATCCTTATGGGTACAGTTGTGGATGATACCGTTCATGTCCAACTGAGCAAACCGGTTAGCTAGGCAAGTAACGCAAGACAGCCGTCAGGCCTCGGGAGGGAGCAGCGAACATAAAGGCAATCGAACTCGGGGATACGGTTCTCGGCGATGAGCTGAGAGATGGCGGGATACCGCTCCGAGAGCCATCTGAAGAACTTGGGAACACTGGACAAGAGGAGGTATTAGCCACACGCCTGAACAACGCGCGCGTATACGGCGCGGGAGGAGCTTTAATTTGAGAATAATATACCCCATGTTGACTAACTGGCGTGTGGTGCCGGTATAGATGTGTACACTACTAGAAGTTTGCGAAGGAGGTCTGAAATCGGGGCGCGCTGAGCGGTCGCAGGAGACGTTGCAGACGGGAGCCTACTTAGTTGCTGCTGTCAGGGGGGGCGAAGGAGAGGCGTCAAGCTAGTTGTTCAAATGCCGGCACTGAATAATAATGGCCGGGCTTGTAGATAGCGAAGCCTCCAGGGATCGCAATGGTGCAATAAACCGAAGGGGGACGAAGCAGCAAGGTCCAAGACTGAAGATGCTGTCTATGGAAGGGAGGAAGAGGAGTGTCCTTGGAGCAACCGACAGCGCCAGTCGGGAAAAGAAGCTACTATAGTGCTAAGAAAAGCGAAAAGGTTGAGAATCCGAGGAGTGACCTAGAGCGCTGGCGGCCTATGTTCGAGATAGAGGTAAAGGAAGAAGTGGGTGATGTCTACGAGATGGAACCGCAAGAGAAACAAAAGTGGAAGGTCCGTCAGAGGCGTGGATGGGACGGAGAGGGTGTCGGGTCCTGGGCTCCGGGCTGGCTAGGTGTTCAGGCTGTGACACACTGCAGTTTCTAGTTGGCCTCCGTTGCCCCACGGGTTGACTGTGTGCCCGGCGTGAGCGTCGGTCGTAGAGGTACGTAGAGGTACCGGTAGCGGGTAGAGGTACCTCTAGAGCTACACGTACTAGCGCTCGGCCCGGCCAGGCCAGGTCAGTGGTGAGCGCTCCGCCACCTCATCAGGCTCCCGGCTGTCACTGTCAGCTCTGTCCCCGCACCAGGGGCACCTCCCGCCTACTACCTACCGAACCTCAAGGTGACGAGCCCCGAGCGAGCCTCCGCCCTCGACGAGCGGGAGCGTGACGGAACTGAAGCTGTTCGGGCGGGCAAATGTACACTTACCTACAAGCACGGACCATCCCCGGTCTTGGATCAGGCGGAACGGAAGTGACATCAAGGAACGCCTTCCAGGTTCCCCACCGCCGCGCACGCCCGCGGGCTATGTATATAGGTACTTACACTATTTAGTAGGTAGTCGGGTGTAGGTAGGTGGCTTGAGGCTCTGTGGAGTAACTTCCTTAAGTAGGAACCCTGTCCCATCCGCCCTGCACTGCAGCACCGCGTCGTCTCTTCAACGACACTGAACCCCACGAAGCAGCGTTCGTCAGAGTGCCCGTGGTGCCTGAAAAGGCGGAAGAGAGTGGCAGAAATCAATTAATTAGAAGTCGCGTCGCGTTTAGAGGTAGTTAGCGCTTCAACCAGTACTGCAAACGCCGTCCGTCGCATGGGCAATCTACCTACCTACTACCTACTTGATAACTTGCGCATTGATTTCCCATTCCAGTACTTTCCTCACTTTTGGACCTGGACCACCTGGAAACTTCCGTAAAAAGGACCCTCTGTGACTTCGCACTAGTTCACTGAACGGACATAATCGTCTTCCCACGCTCATTGTTAAGAAAGCTTAGTTGTTTCCATCCCTGTGGCCTTCGCTCTCACATCCGTGGTGGCTCATCCAGCACAGCTGCGCAACGCGAAAAGCGACTCGGCGCCACATCCCGAACATCTATTACACCCGGGCACCCCACTCACGTCATCACCTAGCTTTACTGAACCTACGCATTCAAGATGGCGCGCGACGAGATTGTCGACGATGTTGACGGTAAGCTTATGAAGCTCATAGTGCGAGCTTGCTGCCAGCCTGTGCAAAAAGTGCTGACATTAGGACGCAGTCAACATGGAGGAGGACGACGCCGAGGCCGAGCAGCGCCTGATCAACGAAGAGTACAAAATCTGGAAGAAGAACAGCCCCTTCCTCTACGACATGATGCTCAGCACGGCCTTGGAGTGGCCTACCCTCACGACACAATGGTTTCCCGATGTCAAGAACCCCAAAGACAAGAGCCACACCGTCCACAGACTGCTTCTCGGAACCCATACTGCTGAGGGCAAGCCCAACTACCTCCAGATCGCCGAAGTCGAGATCCCTAAGATGGTCGAGCTGAATCCCCGCGACTACGACGAGGAACGCGGCGAGATTGGTGGCTATGGCAGCAAGGCCTCTTCCGGGGAGCCCTTGTGCATTCGCTTCAAAATCACCCAGAAGATCGACCACCCCGGCGAGGTCAACAAGGCCCGTTACCAGCCCCAAAACCCCGATATCATTGCCACCCTCGCTGTTGACGGCCGTGTCTTGATCTTCGACCGTACAAAGCACAGCATCACGCCTTCCGGTACTCCTAGCCCTCAACTTGAGCTGATTGGCCACAAGGAAGAAGGCTTCGGCTTGAACTGGAATCCGCACGAGGAAGGCTGCCTTGTGACTGGCAGCGAAGACAAGACCGTCCTCCTGTGGGACCTCAAGACCTATGAGGGGACCAGCAAGCAGCTCAAGTACTCTCGCAAGTACACGCACCATAGCCACATCGTCAACGACGTTCAACATCACCCCTTGGTCAAGTCATGGATCGGTACCGTCTCGGACGATCTCACTCTCCAGATCATCGACGTCCGCCGTCCAGAGACCGACAAGGCAGCCATTGTCGCCCGTAACGGCCACAGTGACGCCATCAATGCTTTGGCGTTCAACCCACGGGTGGAAACCATCATTGCGACTGCGTCCGCCGACAAGACGATTGGTATTTGGGACATGAGGAACATGAATTCCAAGGTTCACACCTTGGAGGGTCACCAGGATGCGGTTACCTCTCTTGAGTGGCACCCAACTGAGTCGGCCATTCTGGGCAGTGGCAGCTACGACAGGAGATTGCTGTTTTGGGACATCAGCCGTGTCGGAGACGAGCAGACCCAAGATGACGCTGAGGATGGCCCCCCGGAGCTGCTCTTCATGCACGGCGGCCACACCAACCACCTGGCCGATTTCAGCTGGAACCGCAACGACCCCTGGCTTGTGTGCAGTGCTGCTGAAGATAACCTGCTCCAGATCTGGAAGGTGGCCAACAGCATCGTTTCCAAGGAGCCCGCGGACATGTCTACTCCCGAACTCGATGACCCCAAACCGAAGCAATCTAGTCACTAGGATGAGGAAACTTCGGCCTTCCAAGTCCTGTTGCCCTCGATCGAGACTCTAGAGATACAACAGCAACAAGAGGAACAGCAACAGGCGCATGACAAGTCCGCGGAGCAAGCCGCTACCATTGGATCCAGGACGGAAAAGGGTAAAGGTAAAGAAGCACCCAAGGAGGGCTCGAGGTTACAAGACGGAACAAGCGGCAGAGACAATGGGGATGGGGACGATGACTCGGAAGATACCAGTGCTTCTGAGCAAAAGGGACGTGGCAAGAGTAAAGGCATGTCGGTGTACGAGTCCTACTTGCGGACGGTGGAGGAGGCAAGGAGAGCGGCGCAAATGACAGGCGCAGAACGGCACCGGAAGACGCGCTCACGCACAACATTCGGCGCAGAGTCACAGCAGAAGCAACAGCAGCAATGAAGCTGTTGAACGACGGCGATGGCGGGAAAATGGACGGTTCTCTAGGCGTAGCGGGTGACAACAGTGCAATTTGAGCTGGATATGAAGGATAGGTAAGCTTACCACAGCAAAATAATGATGGTAGACAGCACCAGGCTTGGTCCAAGATACATGGCAGAGGGAGCTGCGGGAATCTCGACCAAACCAAGCCACAAGTTGTATGAGAAGAGATAGGCCAAGTCAACTTGAGAAGGCATGTAATTTTCTGAATCCATCGTTTTACAGACCTGTTAACTGCAGCGTGACAGCATTTCGCCGTCCCAATGTTAGATTGGGGCTACATCTACTCTAGGCCGTGAACCCATGGAGTCGTTTTCCCTTATCGTCACTGTGTCGATAGGACCTTGGAATCTTGGAGGTATGTGACTTTTCATTGACAGTCAAGTCACACATGACCATTCCAGCAGACCCTAGCAAGTTGAGATGGAAGGCCCATGAATCGCTTGCTATTGTTCTTGCTCTGAGTTTTGTTTTCATCTGGTATTTTCCCCCCTCGATTTCCTTTCTATTGTTCTCGTGGACAGGTCCATTCACTGAGCCCATAACAGCAGCGGTCGTGTCTCGCCGTATGGCAGACAACCAGTGACCATTGACAAACACAAATCCCAAATCACTTCGTCCGTCTTGCAATTTTTATTTCAACAACTCACCGATCGCCTCTTTTCAACCCTTTTCCATTCGGATGATCCGAGAAACCAGGAAGCAATCAACTACACAACACCCAAGTCATTGGAAACATGTCGAATCTCCAAGTGCCCGGCGAGCAAAGAGAGGGCAAAGTGAGAGCTGTCTCAAACCCTTTGCCCGGACTTGCATCACTAAACTTTCACAACAACCGAGGTGATGCTCAGCAGGACTACGAGGCGGCTCAAGCCTCTCGCGCAAACGCCACGCTCGACGAAATCGAGCAAAGAGGCATAGTGCCCGACGTCAATCTAGTTGAACGAGAACTCCTCAGGCCAAAATCAAGAATCAAGAAAGCCGGTTCTGATGCCCACAAGATCTTCTCTAGTCGCGCCGCACCCTCTCACAATCCTACTAGCAGCAGCGATGTCAATACCCTCGATCTCGGCCTTCGCGTCTACCCAAGCAACGAGGAGCTAGATGCAGTGGTCAACACGCTCTGGAGAGACTTCGCCAACGACGGTGGTTTGAACGGACTAAGCCACCAGCAGATACCTCTTCTTTATCAGCACTGGCATCAGCGTGCTCTCGCCATCAATGAGTCTGCCAAAGAATGGCAAGCTCTCAATGTGCCTTCACCGGTAGCGACGAAGCCTAGCGCGAGCACGAGCACCTTTGACCTCTTTGGCTCCTTAATGACCGACTTTGAGCTTCTTCTCGAAGTCTGCAAGCATCTGCGCCCCATCGACATCATCAACCTCTACAGTATTTCAAAAACCTTCCATGATCTCGTCAACGCAAACCTCCAGAGCACCATCCTTCTTTGGACGGACCACATGGCGCCCACCTCGGCCCGTATCTTCTGCCACCAACTCTACTACCAATACTTCATCGATGACCCCTCCGGCAGAAATCCCAGTACTCACCGTGATATACGATATTTTAACCAGCCGGCTCCCAACCATGTCCTGTATCAGAACCAGCATGGAGAAGGCCAAGCCGGTCCCGTCAACCCTCTTCCGCCCGCTGACCCGCAACACAATACCCGCAAGGTTCCATCCTTGATCTGGTTCCAGATGGTTGTCGACCGAGAGATCAAAGTCCGCGACATCCTCGCCACCCTGAGCCGCCACGGCCACCGCACCCCTCACGACACCCACAAGACCCTAAAGAAGCTCTGGCTCCTGATGGACGTAGCCTCGTGCCGCGGCCGCGCCGTCCTGATTCACTCCCAGACGCTCTTCACCGACGAGGACCTCTACCGGGCCCGTCTCTTCTTCATCAAGCTCTACATGCTCTTCGCCGACCCCATCTTTGGGCCCAAGTCCACCGCGCTCGCCAAGCTGTTTCTCGGACAAAAGGGGTTCACGCCACTTTGGCAGTTCCTGCGACGCAAGAAGTATACCACCGAGGAAGAGATCGTGGAGATGAAGACGCGGTACGACGTCCGACCTACTCTTTTGCAGGTTCTCGACGGACACCCTATCAACGGCGTGCCGCCCAACGAGATGGGGAAGATGCATGTGGAAGGGTGGGGGCGCGGCGTCAGACACTTGCTGCGCCCGGATCAGATGGTCAACTGGGAGGCGTACAAGCGAGGGTTGGCCCTGCACCTAAGGGCCGAGAGAATGATGCTTTACGGCCACGTGGACTTTAGCACGGGCCGGCCGCTGGTGCCGAGTCTGGATGAGATGTACATGAGTGATGACGAGTTCGACCTGCCGGCCAACTCGAGCTGGAGGATTACGAAGCATCGCAAAGCGCATGGCGGCTGTGGGAATGTCCCCTTTGAGAGAGGCATGTGGCAGCCTAAGCATGCAAGGAAGGCGAGATGGAAGACGTTGACGGAGGAAGAGAAGGAGGATATCTTGGCTGCGGAGGAAGAGGAGGTCAAGGAGGAAAAGAAGCTGCGATATGTGGAAGGTGATTTGGATGTGGCCCTCGCAGACTTGGAGGAGGCGTTGTATGATTATGCCGTGGAGAAGGAGGAGGGAAGTCACGAAGAGCATGGCGTTGACGGACTGGAGTTCGACAGCCGCGTTCCGATGCCTGATGATATCCTCCCTGGCGATGAGGAGGCAGACTTTGATGATACCGACTGGGAGAACTGCGCAAAATACATGACAGGTTTAGATCGGTTACCCGACCAGTTGACTCGCATCCGACAAGGCAAGGCTTACGGCCAGCTCAACAGGTCACTCATCATGGCCAAGCAGGTCTTCGACAGCAAGGCCAAGAGCAATGCGGAAGGCCAAGAGCAAGACGAAGCTTGGGCGCGTGCCATTGTTCACCAACTGCCCCTTTATATTGGTGGCGAGTCCGCTTACAGAAGGGGTGTCCCCGTTGCTCCCCGAAACAACAACTCAGCCGCGTCAAACCAGGCCTTCAATGCCCATAATGGCAATCATGACTGGGTGCAGCCGGTATACCCAGCCCAAGCTGAACTACCAGACGTTCGAGCTGAGTATCTTCTCAAAGCCGCCGTCGCGCTCCACAAAGCCCGGCTTGACACCGGCGATCTTGACCCAGCCACCGACGCTATGCCCGACGACGAAGTCGCAGAGTTAGAGGATGAGCAGATCACTGTACAGATTGAGAAGAATGTCAATTACGGTTGGATGCTACACATGCCGCGCAAACAGCCCGATAGCGAAGGTGTTCGTGATGGTTCACCAGATTACGACGACCACAGTGGCAATGGATTCACCAGCGAAGTATCAGATTCCATTGACATGGACATGGAGGCGGACATCGACTGTGACGACGACGACGACGACGACGACGACGACGACGACGACGACGACGACGATGATGACGATGCCGATGACGATGCCGATGACTACGACGATGACGACTTTAAAGACCTCATCACCAGCGACTTCGATGACTTCATCACCAGCCCCAACTTCGGTCTTCACGAATCTAACAACACAGGCCCTAACAACACTACTATCAACGAGCCCAACCTGAACCAACACACTCTCAATCACAACCCCAATCCTCACAACCCCGATGTACCCTACCCCAACCAAATGTACCACTACAACCACGACCCCGATGAAGAGTTCGACTGGCGCGCCTGGCTCGACATGCAGCACCAAAACGACCTACTCAGCGAAGCAGCCAGTCTGGACCAAGATTTGTTGAATGGTGCGCACGAAGCCGGGCCGGAGGAGCTGCGAAGGAGGGTGGAGAGTACGATCGAGCGGACCCAGGGGTATAAGAATCTTAGGGAGAGGTTTTTGAGGGGGTATTATCGCCAGTGGTAGTGCCGGTCAGTGGTTAGTGGCTGGTCTGTGTTTGTGAAGTTGGTAATTTGGTCACTTGGTGTGTAGTAGCCTAAGTAGTGGCTCGGTTTGGAATCTGTGTTAGTAGGGAGGAATGATGGTAGGAAAGAGTGATGGAAGGAAGGAAAGGATATGGACCAATGGAAAAGTGGATGTTCGGTGTATATGATTGCATCGATGCCCGGCGAGGTTGTTCCACGTTTGCGTGGGACTTATGGCTGACACCTGGTAACTAGGAGTTGAGCTTTGACTTAGTCAAAACCTCGAAAGCCCGTTCTAAGAAATGCGTGTCATGGCTTTATTAACTCCGAATAGGTAGAATGAAATTGGTGCTTGAGGCTTTTAGCCAATTTTTCCCCCACTAACTCATGTTTCTAGGGCATATATATGCATTTTGGATTGCTCGCTCCCGCAACATCGTAATTCGTTTATCATAATTTCGTGATGTCCAGCAGAGAAATCAGATAGCCACCCAAACCCTTACGCGTAACCCTGACTCCCTTGAAATAACATATACACCAAACAAAATTCCTTTCGTCCGTAGGAACCAACTATTATCTCACCGAGACCTAAGGATCCGCCTCAGACTTCCTTCCGCATGACTGACCGTTCTCCCAGGTTTAGCCAAGCCCGCACTCATCGTCGGCGTCACCTCCTCAGCCTCACTCCTCATAACCTGCTCTTGGTGCTGCTGCTGCTGCTGCTGTCGTTGCGATCCAGCACCACCACTGCCCCCCTTCCAAGGGATCCAGCCATTCCAACTTACCCTGGTCGAAGAAGATGAAGAACCTGCCCAATACTCCTTTGTCCTCGAAGCCTGGTATGGCATATCACTGACAGAGCGCGTCAGAGTCGAGGGCCTGGTGACGATGGCGTTATCGCTAGCGGCAAAGGGAGAGGCTGCGGTCCTTACTCCCAGGTGGCTGTCGGATGTCTGCGGCAGGGCTGGCTCGCTGACTAGTGCACAAGTGCTCTCGTACCGCTGGAGTTGTCCGGCACTGCTTCTGCTGTGATTGTCCATGACTGCTGTTGCGAAGGATGCAGATTTCTTCCTGGCTAGTTTAGCTGCTGCCGACGCCGTGGCAGCTTCCCCTGATCCTTGTTGGCCATCATCCACGTCCAAGCCCTGATCAGTCGCTGTATGCTCATTATATTGATTGATAGTGGTAGCAGCGCTTGGTCCTGCATCGGCAGCGGAGAATCCCAAGTTACTATGCTGTCTGTCGATCCTTCCACGAACTACGCCCGCTATTTCAGCGGCTGGCTTTTTTGACGACCTGTCCTCTTCTGACGAGCGGCTGGAGGACATGATCGTCTCTAAAGTCCCATAGGCAATGCTTTTAAGCCTCCTTCCTCCAGTCCCTGGCCCTCTCCGCCTCCTTCGGGCACCACCCTCCTCTTCATCAGGGACAATTGCCTGTAATGTAGGACCTGTTCTGGCACTTTGACTGGAATGGTAAGAGCCATTCTCCCTCCTTCTCAACGCTGTGTCCGAGGAAGATGGCGCTAGTCCGCCCGCTGGAGAGACGAGGGAAGCACCTGAGCCGTGGGGTGCCATATGAACCTCGTACTGGTTACTCAGCGAGTACCGGGATCGTGCACATATCTCAGCAATACGGTCAAGGTCAGCTCCTATGTTGTTGTCTCCACCCTGAGTCTGCAGGTCGGCCATGAAGCTCTTGAACGAAAAGGCATCCATTGGCGGCAGCTTCTTGGGTTTTCCATTCCTGGACTTTACAACGATCGGGCGAGACGATGTTGACCGTCGCTCCCATAGTAGAGGCAGAGAGCTGACGCCGTTCTCGGGCTGGTCTGATGTCGACATCTTGTTCTTCGCCTTTCTCCAGTTCACATCCTGATTGATGTGAGAGCGAGATCCTTCGCTTTGGTTGCTGGTCTCCGTACCAAAGTCGGTTTGTCCACCGCGAGGCCCGGCTTCGAGGTCCGGAGATTCAGATCGAGGAACACGACTAGAGTCTGCGATACTACTAGTTCCCCGTCGGTACTGGGGTACGATAGAGGTGCGAGTCCTTACCAGAACGGGTTTCGAATAGGTCCTACTTTCTGCGCCTGTGCTCTTGGCGTAGCGATGATTACTAGATGAGGCGGCTGGACATGTGTTTGCCAGTTTCTGCCGGGCCGAAGTGTCATGGAGAGGAAAAGGCTTTCCCTCGGCGATAGAGGGAATGACGGAGACTGCAGTCTGCGAAGACTGAAGAAAGAAGCGCGGAAATGCGACTGGGCTTGCGCCGGGCCGCTGTCTCTTCTTACGAGAGCGCCCACCAATAAGGAGGCCAGAGTCCGAAGAAGGCGAGGTCTTGGACAGACGAGGAGGTAGAGGAGCTGCTGGACGGGACAGAGGAGGTAGAGATGGAGAGAATGCGGGAAAGGAGGAAGAGGAAGCACGGGTTGGGTGAGACGGCTGAAGAGGACCTGGATGAGGTACCAAAAGGGGTAAAGAAGCCTGTGTGGCAAGCTGCTCCGGGATCACTGACCGGGCATCGTCCTCGTCGCGGAGCAGCGAGTTCGAAGTGTCGGCCGGGCCTTGGCGGATACCGTGTGGCTTGCTATATATGTGCATATTATCCGCGAGGCATCAATCGAAACAGAATGGACGAGATGCGGGTGATAAGTATGACTTAAGGTACGGAGGCGGGCAGGTCAGAAAGTACTGCAGCAGCGGAAGCGGAAGCAGAAGCAGAAGCAGGGAATCGCAGCGCAGCGAGTTAGTTGCAGCGAGTCGCAGCCGAGTGGAAGCAGCAGCAGAAGCATGCAAGTGTATCGTGGTCGCTGGTAGTTCGCGGGTTGCTTTCCTGGGAGGTCCAGGTAGGAGGTGGGTAGTAGGTAGGTATCTATGCTGGGATTGGGCTGGGGCTGGAACTTCCTTGCGATGTGAACGTGATGACTTGTCAACTCGGGTTGATGGGAAGGGAAAAGGCGTGGAAAAGGCGAGAAAGAGACCGACGTGAACCTCAAGCAGCATGCACAGGTAACGAACAGCCAAGGTGCAAAAGGTGCTCAGGATGAGACGGATGGCCGACATTGACGGCTTCCAGCCTTCTGCGTGTCTCAATCTTCGGATGGCCGGCTGTCAGACGTCAACGTGGGCAACTCGTGTTCGCTCGTGCTTTTTCCATGGCTGCAGAAGGTCCGAAAAAACGACATTTTGCGACCATCCAAGAAGGTGGTTTACCATGCTTTGCAACCTTTGGGCTTCCCTTGCCATTCCTATTTGGGTTGGTCTACACTACACTACCATCCATTGTCGCCATGTTGTTTGATTGACATGCAGAGAATCCCGTCTGTGGAGTTTCGAGAAAGAGAAGAAGTGTATGTAGTAACAAGTCCAAGTCTGGGCCCTTCCCTTTCTTGGTTCGTCCTGGGGAAGGGTCGGGTGCGAGAAAAGATAAACTGTCGGGTGGCTGGCGAATGGGAGCAATCCAAGATGAGTGAAGGCGGGCAAGTGATGAAAAAGGATGCGTGCTGCGACTGCAAGAAGTCGTGGCTTTCTTTCCAACGAAAGGTCTCCCCGGCCGAAGCCATCAGGGGTGGGGTCCTCCGAATGAGAGTGGCTGAGATGGGCCCGGGGAGCTTGAGGGGTTGAGTGCGGGGTACAGCGAGTGGCCTTTCCGGGCCCACTGCCGTAGCCTGCTTGGGCTGGCGCGGGGCCACCTGGAGGACCCGCCCGGCCTGGGCGCCGCGGATTGGAGTTCGTTGCTGCTCCGGGCCGCGGGGGTCCAGCCAGTGCGAGTCCGTGAGCCACCTCCGGCCTGCCAAGGAGTCATGTATGCTTTAACCTTATTCAAACCGTCGCTCCTTTCAAGTTGTAAGGCTGTGATCGGCTCAAACTTTTCATGGAAAAGTTGTGAGATTTTGGTACTTGGGTGACAGGGGGGGGGACAGGGGGGAAGAAACTGTACCTCAAACTCGCAAACTCTCTACAACTTTTCTGCTAGAAGTAGGGGGGGGGACCTACTTCTGAGATTCAGTGAGTTTTGAGTAAAAAAGTTGCGGAAGGACTAATCAAATCTGAGGATTCTAAAGCTTAGCTTTTGTAGTCCGAGCTCCTAAAAAAGGTACTTGAGTAAAAAAGTTAGAAAACCTATAAACGAGGCTAGCTAAGGCGCTATCGCTCTAAATAGGAAAGCCAATGCAAATCGGCGTCCGTGCCCGCTTAAAGAAGGAAAGCGCCTTTGATAAAAGAATAGGCACAGCCCTGCTAGTGTAGAATATCCCTGAACACCTTTACAACTTTTCATTGAAAAGTTTGAGCCGATCAGAGCCTAAACGTTGTGGTCTTGATTCATATATAAAGCCATGAACATATACGTCGGTATAACGGAAGTCATTTTCCAGCGGTACAACTACTATGGAGTACTAACCAAGCGACGAAAACTAGGTAGGTATAGGGTACATTAGCAATCTCCCTGCCTACTACTTGGAGCACACATAGGCATTAAGATAGTTCCAAGTGGACGGTAACTCATCCGACGACACAACAAACCAACCCGAGCACATCATAGGTCTTATTAAGAAACTCACGCCTAACCTCCATCGACCCCCAAAAAGCCTTGCAAGTCTCTCGGAAGACTCCTTGGAAAAATCACTCTTTCGTTATCGTATATATTCATCAACTCGATTCGTCATCACACCACTCGACCCCAGTCAACGTGCTGGTCCCTCATACTTCAAGTCATACCTCCCAGCGGCAACATCAAGGTGTCTTGCCGTGTCTACTTACGAAGCGTTCGGCTGCACAATGGTACCATATCCATGTGGGTTCCCGCCGTTCTGGACATTATCGCTGTAGACGCCAGGAGCGCGGTCGGTGACGATGGAGCCTTGTCTTAACCGCTCCCGACGGTCGTAGTAGACATATTCGAGATAGAAGGCATGAACATGACCAGGGATATAGCTGCGTCGGGTTTTCACAGAGGTCAGTGCGGTGCTCTACGGCAGTGCTGGAGGATCTGTAAACATCAATCTGGAAGGCATCCACATGAACGTACCCCAACAAAGTCAGGCAGATGTTGATTAAGAGGTCTGCCCCACAGCCGGCGATGGCAAACACGCCGATCGGAGGACCTTTAATCTCTTTAGTCAGTACGTGTACACTGGAGGTAGATATTTAGGGCTGCAAGACGCCATTCGAAGTGAACGAGCGAAGCGGGGCCTCTTGGAACCGTACAGAAAATGGTCACGATGACCAGGAAAATTGCTGAGGCCACTCCCATTTCTTTTTTCTGCTGGCCGGCCGAGAAACGTGATATGTGAAGAGGTTCCGAAGAAAGTTTACTGTGATGATTGAGTGACAACTGAAATCGTGAAAAGAGGAAGAACATGTGATTTTTCCCAGTTACCTGCGTTCAGCAATCCACACACACCGCATTAGGCGATGACGTACTCCTCTGCTGACGGATGGCATGAAGCAGGAACCGTGCCGCACGGGCCATATCATGACATTTATGTTCTTTCCTACCGACACTGTCTTTGTTCAATGGTTCCGAGTCATCCTTGTCTATAGTTATATGCAGGCCAGTGTGTCTAGGTGTGAGTGAAGGAAATATCAAGTCTCATCAGTTGGATCGATCATTATGATGGGGCGACTTAGAGTCTGGACTCGGGTTAAGCCCCCTGAGAATAGCATGGAACATAGTCGCCCTCGAGCACCCGGGAATTGTGGGATCATGCAGCATCCGCTGGGTACTAGATCTCACGATTCGGTAAGGTATCAAAGGCGGACCGGGGTACGGGAAACCTCAAGGCATTGCACACGGCCGTTCTTCAGATTCACGCTTTTCCGGGAAGCTCCGGGTTTGTGTTGGATCTGGCCACGAATCGGAGGCGAATTAGCCGGAGCATCGGCGTCCACAAATCGGAGCCACGGCCGGCGGTGACCGGAGAAGATGATCTGCAAATCCGGCATTTCCTAACACCGCCGACCGTTCCAAGGTGTGTGCCATTCCCTCGTCGATCCTAACCACCGTTATGCTTTGGGTGTTTATTGTTGTTATACCACAAAAAGTAAAAGCAGGCAGTAATACTCGTGTGTTGGAAATATGACACGATGCCGCTTATGTATGCCTTCTGTAGCTATTGGAACGAGTACAAGGCAATCCAGTGCTTACTCAACAGACTCCCACAGTACTCCAAATAGCAGAGTAGTAAGTCTAGGTGTAAGACTAAGTGTCTTTATGAAGGTGTCAGGGAAACATGAGGGATCAGCTGTAGCTGTCGTGCGTGGAAGCTGTGCGATGTGAATAGGAGTCTAGCCTTATGGACTGGCATGCTGTTGGGGGTGGTGGTCTTTGTCAGTAAGCCGAGGTCAAAGTAAGAAATGCGAGTTGTTGTGCTGTCTCAGAAGTAATGCTGAACAAGTCGATTTTAATACATTGAACGTCGAATACGCGCAATCAGATGAACACGCTGGAAATTGTATATTGGGCAAGGTGGCCCGGTAGATAGCAGGCTCACACGAGTTCAATTCGTCGCTGATTGAACTGCAGTGCATCTCAGTCTCTGCTGGACAGTAATTGGCGTGGATGTGTTCCTGATTGTCGATACTGCGAGGTCGAGCACTCAGTCAAAATGGAGGAGGTTGAAGAGCTCGTGATATTTGAGGCTTTGCATGACAGCTCGTTTTGGTGCCCCAATCAGTCCAACCGGTCAGCTCTTTCTGTGAGCTCGAATTGACGAGTCACCGGTCCATTTCCCATTAATTGCTGTGCAGAAATAGGCTCTGTTCCTTCCAGTTGGTTGACGTCGCAAGCTGGTCTGCTCGAGGTCGCCACCGATTAGGCAGGTGGGATCACTCATTAAAATATGGATATGGTGGTTATACTCAGCTGTCAGCCCAAGGAACCTCAAGTTTCCAAAACATTAAGGCTTTTTTGGTGGCCTTTGACTGCCTCTAGGTACCTTACCTCTGTTGTCCATCAGCAATCAGATTGGGTCGGAGATACGTAGTGGGACGGAGGGAAGGAGCCTCGAGGTTAATTGGAAAGGACGTGTAGGCAGCTTTGGTACAAGTTTGCCATGCAAATGCGGAGTACTGGGTACTTCACTCATAAGCACGTTGCTCTCTGTACGAGGTGATGCGGAAGGTATGGGATACCTCCGGAGATATTGAGTGGATTTCTTCCACTTTCTGTTAATGAGACGGGCCTTGAACCGTTGACGATTTCCCTTGTCTTCAACTGAGTGCTGCGGCCGTGCATAGGTACCACCGACGAGGTGCTTGATGGAAAAATATGTTGAGAGGAGAAGTTCCCGTCCATGGCCTGTTACAGCGCCGTCCACAACTGGTCGGTCCTCTATCCGTAACCTGGAGTGCAGCGATGGACTCTTACACTTGATCCTCGAGGAAATTTCCTTTTGATATCCTGACGGACCTTTCCCCTTTGCGACCCCACCCTTTTCATCCACTTCTATGGGTCTTCGGTCACTTCTACTGCGACCTAAACGGCACTCAGGGCCCACTAGAACACTAACGTACTACATTGTTTCGAGTGCGGTCGTCTGTTAGTGACCTAATTGATAGAATATCGGTATTCTGGCGGGGCCTTTCTGTCATCCGGATCTCAACTTAAGAGTTCGAGGATTGCATAGGTCGCTCGCTCGTTCGTTTTTGCAATCGTGTTGCGTCTGGGTCGCTGTTTGTTGCCGTATTACTACCTACTTACCTATTCAACACGAGAAGGAACCGAGCAATCGCACTTGTTGTTTCGATAGTTGTCTTGACCGGTCTGTTCGGCAGCCGTCGCCTTCGCTCCATTCACTCACCTTCCTTCAATCACCACCTCCACTTCCGTCCCGCCCAACCTTCCTGCGTGTGAAGTTCAGTCGCAGAAGTCAATCGAGTCAAGTCAACCTTGGCTGAACCTTTTCGCCCTGGGTATCTCCGTGAGCGCCAGACGTGTGCCATTTTTTTCTGGGCTATTTTGCTATAGACCGTAGAGAAATTGCATGTTCCCGAATCCCGTTGGTCCAGTGTTAAGAAGATAACGGGCAATCGCTCACTCTCACCTCCACTGTCACTGAACGAAAAGCTGGGACCGGACTGGCACCAAATTAGCACCAAACCGCCCCCGGCACCACCAACTGAACCGACTGGGGACGACCGGGGACGACTGGGACCAGGTGGTGCTTGCGTCGGGTACTTAGGCTGGGTACTCCTAACCAGCTACCTCTACGCCAACGAAAAAAAAAGGTTTGGACTCCTCTGACAAGCGGAAGTCGACGAACGGGAAACGGTCAACCTGCTCCATCCACATCTGCCATTGCTAGGTCCGTCTTCCCACTGCCCCCGTCTCCCGACCTGCATCCATCCCCGACGACCCTCCTTCACCGTCGCCGAAAACTCTACCCTAAAACCCGGGACTGACCAAGCTGAACCGGAGCAGGCACCCACCCCTCTTGCCGACTCCTCGCTTCCATTGCATCCATCTCGGGGCGCACCTCATCGACGTCGGCCCATCCGCCTCCTTTACGCCCTTCTTCCCGTCCACTCCCCAGGCCCTCGGGTGCCTCCTCACCCGTCATGGCGACCCAGCAAAGTCCGCCTTTCAAGGTGGACCGCTACGTGGTCATTCACGTCGCGACCACATGCGACGAGCACGGCGTTTATGTGACCAAGGATTCCGCCGAGGTCATTGAGCTCGGTTGGATTCTTTTGGATGCCAACAACCTCGAGGAAGTAAGCAGCAAACAATCCCTTACATTATGATGCCGTACCGCCGGCCTCGGCCTCGGCTCCGGTCTCCAGTCTGGTCTTGATCCTTCCGTAATGCTCTTTTCACCCTGAGATTTCCCGCGTTCAGGGCGCTGTGATTCTTTCTATGCTCAATGCTGACCACACCGTTTGTTGCAGATCCACAGAGAGAGCGTTCTCGTCAAGCCGGTCAACACTCCCATTACTCCTCTTTGCAGTACGTCGAACCTCGCCCCCTGATCCGTCTCCGCCTGCTGGACCAATTGGCTCTTCTCATGGCGGCTACAGGCACTCCTTACTGACCCCTTGCCCAACAGCGAGCTTGACGACCCTCACGTGGGAACATGTCCGTAACGCCGGCACCTTCAGAGATGCCATCAACCGCTTCGATGCTTTTGCCTCCGAACACTTGACTGGCCCCAACCTCGACTTCGTTTTCGTCACCCTAGAGGCTTGGGATTTGCGCGTCCAGCTCCCTAGGGAAGCCCGTGACAAGGCCGTTGTCCTTCCCCCCTATCTGCAGCACTCACGCACTTTCGACCTGCGCACCGAATACCAAAGATGGCAGCAGCATCACCCCGAGTCGCTGCCTTTCGGCCCCTCATCGCTTGCTAACATCTGCGCGGCCCTCGAGGTGGAGGCTGTTCAGAGCAGCGCTCCCATCAAGCACAACCTGCCGTTCCACCTGCAGGCTCTTGCTCCCGCGTCTCCTCGCCGTGCCATGGAGGAAGCTGTCACTCTTGCCCGTGTCCTGCGTAGCTTGATTCGCAAGTCCCAGCCCGCTCATGAGCATCCTGATGTGCTTACTCGGCCTATGGATGCCCGTGCTGACGTTCGTGCTTTTTTGTCGGAGCGCAGCAAGGTGTTGCACATGTCCGGCTTGCCGCACGACACTACCCAGTCCGAGCTGGAGAGCTGGTTCACCCAGTACGGTGGTAGGCCCATTGCGTTCTGGACTCTGCGGACTCCCGAGCAGCACAAGCCTACCGGAACCGGCTTCGCCGTCTTTTCTTCTCACGAAGAGGTATGTCTTGTTTTCTGCATAACTATAATCAGTCTCACTGACATCATACACCTTTTAGGCCGCCGAAAGTCTTTGCATGAATGGAAGGGCTTTGAACGAGAAGGCTATTGAGGTGTCGCCCTCCTCTAGCAGGGTCCTTGATCGCGCTTCCGAGATCCTTACGCCCTTCCCTCCCAGCAAGAACCGCCCCCGACCTGGTGATTGGACGTGCCCCTCTTGCGGTTTCTCCAATTTCCAGCGCCGTACCGCCTGCTTCCGCTGCTCCTTCCCGGCTGTCAGTGCTGGTCCCACTGGCGAGATGGGCTATGGCTACGGCTACGGTCCCCCGGCTATGATGCCCGCTCCTCCCCACATGGGCCACCACGGCCATGGCGGTGGACACGGCCGTATGGGCGGCTCTGGTGTCGTTCCTTTCCGTGCCGGTGACTGGAAATGCGGTAACGAGGTCTGCGGATATCACAATTTCGCCAAGAACGTGTGCTGTCTTCGTTGTGGAGCGAGCCGTGCTGGCGCCGCTGTCGTCGCCGATTCAGGCTATCCATCCCCCTTGGACGCTCAAACCTCTTACGGCATGAATCAAGGATCCATGGGCGGCAATTCTGCGCCTGGCCCCTTTGCTTCCGCCAGTGGCTTCAACTCTGCGGGTGGATATGGCCAGCATTTCGGTGGCCCGCCCAGTACTTATGCTCTTCCCTCTGGCCTCGGTGGCGGTGCTGCTCCTTACCCATCCTTGAACACCCATTTCGGCCCCGCTCCTGGCTCGCACTCGGCCGGTCCTTTCGATAGCCGTGCCGCCGAGGCCGCTTTCCAGTCCGCCAGCAACGGACCCGCCTCTGCCGGCCCTGGAAACAATTTCTACTCTCAAACTGAGAGCGATCCTTTTGCTTTCCTCTCCAGCGGCATCGGTAGCCTTTCTGTCAGCAACCAGGATGCTCGTCAGAACGGCGGTGCTGCTCCTGCCAGCAAGTCACCCGCGTAAAGGAACAACATCACAACTCTTCCCAGTGCCAAGCCGTACGACGGATTGCTCACATGGCATCGAGCTTTCGATTGTTTCTTCAGTTGTGAATTTCACCGCGAACAATTTTGGGAACGAGAATAGAGATCAATTTGGAATCTTGGCGATAACTATGGGCTTATACTGTTTCTTCACGGGGTGCATGGGGCAAGCGGAGCACGGGTGCAGGCAAGGCTTTTGGGAGAACTACTGCGGCGGTTTTTACTTGGGCGTGGGAAGCGGGACGGAAGCGGCGCCTGGCAGGCAAAAATTTGCGAATCGGATGGGTATGATAAAAAGAAACGCAACATGCCATTTTTACAAAATCCCTCAGGGCGGAGTTTATCTCGAACGACGCATGGTAACTGGCTGGCTGGCTTATGGCAAAAAAAAGGGGGCGGGAACGGCTGGATTCATTGCTAGGAGCTACGGTTAAGGCCAACGGTCTCTCAGCGGCTCTCGGTTTTTGCAACGCCGGTTCGCTAGAGCGAGACATATCATGGACTAGCGGAGCTGGGTTAACGGAGCAGGGGAAAAGAACTAAATCGTAATTTTGGCCTTATGTTTCTTTGGGGGGGGCGGTTGGGGGTGCTGGTGGCTATGGGTGCTGTTGCCTTTTCCGCGACTTTCATTTTCATATCTATTGGAGGAGTGTCAACGTACTATTTTTCTCTGCCAATTTGGTGCTTTCAAGTTTGTTCGAAATCTTTTCCTCCCATCACTTTTCACATCTAGTCAAATCAATACAAGAACAAACAAAACCGCGGTACTTTATTTCGAACAGTGGCAAGGCAAGGCACGTGGAGCAAAAGACGGACCGTCAAATTGGTTGGGGAACTCAGCGGAGGCGAAGGGGTGTAGGTTGGTTTATTGGTTGGGATGGACGAGACGGTTTGCGAGGAGGGGCCGAGGTTCATCTCTTCCCAATTTCATAACAACATGATATGTAACTGCTGTTTGTGAATACTTCTTTTCCCCCGCGTTGTGTTAAGTTGTTTCTCTCTTCTTTGAAGGGGTGCCTGGAGTTGGTTTGGTGTGTGCGAGAAGAAAAAGGGTAAAATAAAATGGGTTTCACATTATTTCTCGGTTGAAATATTCAAATCGTAAACGGGAAAAGTTTGATATGCTTAGGTGGCGTGGGCGGGTAGGCTTGAGTCGAAGGAGGGAGAGAAAAAAAAAAAAAGGGGGGGGGGGGGGAAAAAAAAGAAGGGGGGGGGACGGATGCTCTACTGATTTGGATGGGTAGATTGTGAACTGTACATCTTCCTCACAAGGCATCATCATATCGTTGATGCATCATGCTTCTTCTGTCCTCTCCGCATTCATGGAGTTCAGTGTTGTCTACCTTTCCCTCTAGCCCTAGCGATATCTTGAACCCCCTCACACGAGAAACTGCTTTAAGTCAAACCCTCATTTTTTTCCCCATCCCATCACACCCCGTTGGATATTCTCCCATGTCCTAGCTTCCTCCTCCCTATGTCCTCCTCGCGCAAATATCCCATGGTTTACCAAATTTCGCTATACCATGTCCATGCCTGTCCCACCAGCTCGCTGCCCGTTGCTTGTATACCAATGATAATTCAAGACGTGTCGGGCCAAAGGCCGGGTACGATCTATCCCGATTTATATACCATATGCCATATGATAAGATAGAATAGTTTGCACATAACTTCCTGCTGACAATCTACTCACCCCTATCTATGCCTGCTGCCTTGACTCGACGACCACCAGCCTCGATATCTAGCTTTACGATCTGGCCGTGGTCCCGTCATGATCGTCATCGTAGATTGATTTCAATTTTGATACAGAATGTTTTGCAAAAACCAGCTTTGCACTGCAGGCGAAGCGTGATCGAACATCAGGCCAGGGTAACGATTCTGCCACATAATCTTCTCATAATACGCCATGTTCTCCTAGTTATGACTTTGACTTGCTGCCGGCCCGGATGGGGCATTCGTGGGTGCCCGTGCCCGTGCCTGTGCGTGCGCCGGTGGTAAGTGTGATGAAGATGATGCTGATGGCCGACATTGCTGCTGTTCCTGTTGTTGTTCTTGTTGGTGTTGTTCCCTGGGCCTGGTGGGTACTGATGACCGTTCGGGCTCTCGCTGCTGCTGCTGCTGCTGCTGCGGCGGCGGCGGCGGCGGCGGTGCTGAGGATGATAATATTGTTGATGATTTGTTGGCAGCATGTGGGTCCAAGTGCGGACGTTTGGAATCGCGCTCTGATGGTGGTTCTCGACTCTCGGCAGGGCGCTTTCTAGGGTCACGATCCTTTTCTCGAGTCGAAGAGCTACCACCGCCACCACTTGGTGCAGCGGCTGCTGCTGGTGCCCCATCTTTGACAGCCCGTCGTGCTTCTCTCTCCTTCCTCTCGTTCTCTTTCCGAAGAGCCTTGGATTCGAATTCGTGCCATTCGCCATCAATATCCTTGAGTCTAAGAAGTCAAATATTAGTATCGACAAGATTCATCAGAAGGGATGCATTCTTGACATCAAAGGGACGTACTCGACTGCTTGTCGCGGAGCTGGCTCTTCGGTGGTGAAGTAAGGATGCGCCAATACTTGGGCAGCGCTGGGCCGTTTATCAGGGTCGTATTTGAACATCCAGAGGAGCAGCTCAAACGCGGCAGGTGTCACTAGCTCCTTATACTTCTCTGCAAATACATTTGCTCGCCGCTGAGTTGGCCGTAGCAGTTCGAACCAAGGCATTTCGATGATGTTTGGCCAGTCGTTTATGGTCGGTGTGCCCAAAACAGAATGGATCTTGTCCAGCTGGTTGATCTCGCTACCATCGCCAGGAAAGATGGCACGCTTGGTAAATATTTCCATCATCACGCAAGCAGCGCTCCAGATATCCACGGCGGGACCGTACTGTGTCTCTCCGAGAAGTAGTTCCGGTGATCTGTACCAAATGGTGATCACACGGTTCGTATAGTCGAGTTGGTGATGTTTGGCATAGAACCGAGCCAGGCCAAAATCAGCAAGTTTGAGGACTCCCTCGTTGCTGACCAGGATATTGGCTGCTTTGATGTCTCGATGCAGGACGCCCCTAGAATGAAGATAGTCCAAACCCTCGAACAACTGCAGAGCCAAATGCTTCTTCTGGGCCGGGTCCAGAGTATAGTTAGGATGGTTGATGAGCCCTGTAAGATCGTGTGATAGGTACTCAAATACCATGAAGCACTCGTTCATCTCAACCATCACTTCCATGAGCTTGACGATATTCCTATGGCTTAGAGACCGGAGCAGCTTGATCTCTCGCACCGCTGTCACAGGGAAGCCATCCCTTTCTCCTTCCATTCGTATCCTCTTGAGGGCCACTTGTTTTTTTGTGTAAACATTGAGGGCTTTGAACACCTTTCCATACGTACCGGAACCGATGACAGATTCGTTACCCGGCTTTCTGTGGTAAACAGACTTTGACTTTGCCAAGTCCGGCGGAAGAGCCGGCTTCTCCTTGAGCTTCTTGACAATCTTCTTCACGATTCGGGTCCTCGGCTTCTGCTGTTCCGCCGGTCTGTGGCTATCCACCGGCCTGTGGCTATCTACCGGCCTGTGGCTGTCTACCGGCCTGTGCGGGTCCGGCCCTCTGCGATCATTGTGACGAGCCCTAGCAGATGCCGGTTCCGTAGGCACATTCTTGGGGAGGTCATGACGGTCCCGATTGGATCTATGGGCAGATGGCGCCGTCGGCGGAGCAGCAGCGGGCGCTTTGGGGGGTTGCTTTTGCGAGGGTTCCCGTGGCGGAACGACGGCATTGAATTTGAGAGATATCTCAAGCCTTGGAGCCGCTACTACTGGCTTTGTAGCGTTTTTCATACTGAAGCTAAATTTGTTAGAGGGCTGAGATTGTGAAGCAGCGGCTGGGCGGGTAGGGGGCTGCATTTGCTCCTCTTTCTCTTTGCCTGAATTGTTGGTATCATCGCCTTGCGAGTCTTTGTCGGGTCTGGAAGAGCTGTTAACATCCTCCCTTGTCCCCTCCTGAGTGTTTTGGCCAGAATCAGCGTACTTGCTTGGGGCCGCGTTATTTTGGGCATGGGCGGGATTGTTTTCAGTTGTTGTTGTTATTGTTGTTGTTGGTGTTATGTACTGGCCTCTGGCATTGTGTGCGTTGGGACTCCATTGGGCATTTTTAGAGCCGCCTCGATGGCCTCCGCGAGCGACACCGAATGAGCCACCGCGGAATCCACCAGATGCAGCCCGATGTCCACCACGGAACGGGCCTGTTGGGTATTGGGCCGCTGGGCCGGTTGGAGGATACGGTGGCGAATGCCCTTGATTCGAGTGGTAGTGTGCTTGCGGCCCAGTAGGGGGGCCGTAATTGCCATGCGGATATCCATATTGACTACTCCGATGTCAGTCAAGAGAATGATTGCATTGCTCTGGGAGGACATACCTTTGTGGTGAAAATTGCGGATTGTTCCACCCTCGTCCGGCACCATAAGGAGATTGGGCGGGAGGCGAGCCATGGAAGGATGAGTTGGGCGTTGCATGTCCTGAAGAGTGTGAATAGTTTCGGCCATCATGTGTCTCTGTGTACCCAGGAGGCATCGGGGCACCATAACCCCCTCGGTAGCCGTTCCTTGCAGCCATGTTCACCTCGATACTGTTTACGCCAGATGCGGGATCAAACTTTTGATCGTCACGGACTTTGCCCTTTTTGCTAGATTTGGAGCGTCGCCGGTCCCGTGGAGAGCCTTGAGGATGGTCGTAAGGCTCACGTGAGTCCGGATCGAGACTTGGCCGTCTGCGCGAACCTGCGTCGGAAGCGGGGTGTCTGTTTTCGCGATGGGGAGGGGTCCGAGAACGTGACTTTGACTGATGGCGACGTTCAGGACGATCTGGCCGGTCTGAGCGACCACGATGCCGTGGAGATGGACTCCTTCGGCGTACACGCCCCGAGGCTCGGTCAAAAACTCCCCGGTCTGGTGACCGTGATTTCCGCCTTCGAGAGCGATCTGGCGAACGAGATCGACCTGACCGTTTCCTATCTCTAGAGCGTCGCCGCTCGTGATGGCTTGGAGAACGGGATGGCCTCCTGTCCACTGGTGACCTGCGGCGGTCCCTTGGCAGCTGCAGGGAATTTACGTCGTCCTTTTCTCCTCGTTGAGGGCTTCGGCCACGTCGTGACTTTTTGGAGTCCGGTCCACCTGGCGATGGGGTTCGACTACGCCTGCGCTTGCTCGAGCCTGGCGACCTTGAAGAACCACGTTGAGAGGCACGGGCCGGGTGTGGAGGAAGTTGTGAGTGGTGTTTCCCGTGATCGACGTTTTGGCCACGTTCGTGGGCGGCGTCCCCTCGGCCTCTCGCAAGGACAGGACTTCGATGGCGTCGGTCCGGGGAAAAGTGGCCGTCGCGACCACGGGGCTCGCGGGAGCGATCTCTACGGCTGCGTGGTGAGCCTCTGGGGCGATGGGGGAAACGCGATGAGCGGCCAGAGCGGTCCGGGCTGCGATGTCTCGACGGATGGCGATGGCGAGGAGCGGGCTGAGAGGAGGAAGAGGGCGGTTCGATCGAGCGGCCGCGAGGTTTGCCGGATTTGCTGGGGCCGTCGCTGGCACTGGGGCGATCTGGATTCGGCTTGTGTCGAGCTGCTGGGTCAGGAACAGGATCAGGATCAGAGGACCGGTTCACGACAGCAGCGGCAGGCGAAGTAGTCGGACGTGAAGTATTCATGCCTAGAGCATGCTCGTCTGTGAGGCTGCGTGGTTGGTTTTTGGAGATGCGGCTGCCATTTGGCATTGCAGCATCATGTCGAGTCCGAGATTCCAAAAGTGGTCCAGCCACTGGAGGTGAGGACCCCATGCACGGCTGGCAACACCCACCAGATTCGTCGATATCTGACTTTTAGAATAGTGGCCAGGGCGGTATCTTGGCCGACCGACAGGGATTACCCGACCCGCTAAAAACGCGTGCACAGCGTTCTTCTCAGGCCTGCAGCCGCCTGGCCAAAGGCACTGTCGACTCGAACGCGACAGGAATACCTAGGTACCTTTTGAGAGGTAGAAGATACCTCTTAACGAACCGACGACCTTACGAATCGCCATCCATCCACCTCCTGACCCTGGGGCTGTTTTGAAATCCCAAATTGATTTTGGGCGTCCTTCCACACACGGCGGGCGCAGTTGCTCACCCTGTTCGGCGTGAGGCCGCTACTTTCCTCGAATGGACTTGATGACCTCAGCAAATCGGGCAGGCAATGTAAAAGCTTCGTCAACTGCACCAACGCGTCTCCGTAAAAGTTCAAGACCAAGACCTTCACCTCCAGCCTTGCTCCGCGAATGTGTTGAAACAGTGTTGTGCCTCTGCGCCTGTGCCATGTATGGTCGGCTGCAAACTGTGGTTGGCAAGCAGCAATGTATGTTCGCAGAGGGTGGGATATGGAGAAGCGATGCGGTGGAGATAATACCAGACTGTTCCTGTGCAGTTAGTAGTAGGGGAAACGCTACTTAGCAGTGGACAGCAAAAGACCAGATCTCCTCCCGTTCTGGCGATAATAGCCTTATTCAAAACAACCCATAGCACCCTTCAGAGGACAAGGAAAGGCTGATGTGACGATGAGGCTGAATACCTTGAGAGACGGCGACGTTGCGTGAAGAAGCCGAATACGTACCGCTGGTGCAAATATAATGTGGCCAGAGATGAGGTAAATGCACCGACGCCGGGCGATGGATGCCTTTGCAATCGGATGACCCCTCTTAACGCGACAAGAACGCCTGCCTCGTTGGGGTTCATCATCCGTAGAACGTTCATCTAACGGTCAAACGCCCAGATCCTGGAGTTGACGCGACACTGCACTTGCTTGCGCGCATCCGGATATACCCCCGGGTAGACGAAGCCACGAAGCCGACATCCTTAATCGAATTCGCGAACGCTATACCCTTCCTTATAAGCCAGGGTACAGGGCGGGCGTCACATACCCGCTGGTTGCCGCTCCTGTAGCCATACCAATACCTCCCAGCCCATATCTGCGTCGAAGAGCAGAGGCATGCTCTGACTATGCAGGACTCTATATCACCAGGACATCCTCTCTATATACGTTAAGACACGCTTTACGAGTGCATCTTCATAGCTGTCCATAGATGCCTATGTCCAGCAACCAAGCACAGGGCTCTCCCCATGCGAATCGAGGCATTGAGCATTAGCTCCCGCAATGATGCTGCCAGTGTGCATGTCTGTCTGATTGTCAGTACCTCCTTCGCTCGTGGTCGGTCCTCTCCGAGCCTTGACAATTCCACTTGAGGTATATGCGAGCCACATAACACCAAGCTACCGGGAGGGTAAGTTTCCTAGATGCTCGACATCGTGGCTGTTGCAAACATACACCGCCTGCAAGACTCCCATGATTGCCCTTTTGCCATGCCTTGATAGTTTATCGTAGCACATCAGTTATCGTTGGATGCCTAAAGGAACAGCATCTTGGCGAATACAATAGCAGGCCTGTTGTCTTTCCACTACACTCTCGGGTAAGCGCAGTAGTTAAGCAGCAGTCCTCTTAGGTTTGGCCGGCGCCGGCCTGATGAATGAGCACATCCTGCTGGAGCACATAACATGCTGTTCTCGGAGCTGCGGCGTCGACAGAGAGAGAGGAAAGGAGTTGCTGAAACAATGGGGCTGTGAATACTTGTTGCTCTTCTTGCCGTGATTCTTAGCTCGTCCCGGTATCGAGTCTCGTACGATGTGGATACTGCTAGAAGCATCACATTATCCATCCATCATCTGTGATCACCAGTGCTACCGGCAGGTGGTGTCAGAGCTTGGGTATCGCCTCGGCCAAAATGAGATCCGGAAAACAGGCAGCGCCGGCAACAATCAAAGAATAGGAGACGGCGGCGACGGGATTTGTGCGACCTCGAATGGCGACCATCATTTTTCTTCCAGTTACGCCCACGATCTTTCCGCGAGGGGAAACAGATGGCATGTCTGTCTCTAAAGCAAGCTTCGAGCGCCTATGGTGGTGAATGCTTCCGTAGCCGACGCGGGGGGGGCATTGGTTCAGCTTTTTGGAGCGTCTGTGATGCTGTGCCCAGGTGCTGACCGCTGGGTTCGAAAGCCCCGTAAATGGTGACCCGTCGCGCATCGATTGTCGTCACATCGTGGGAGCGACTCGGAGTGGAAAATAAAGCTGTAGGCCCGCTCAGAAAATTGTCCGTCAAGCTGTGATGGTAGAGTATGTCGTGAAGATTAGAGGTAGAGGAGCGACGGGCACTGAGTGGTGTCGATGCAGTGATCAAATCAGGTTGGCTGCTATGGCCCCAGGTAGGGGGGATGTTGGCGGATGCTCGAGTCTGAAGACCGACAGTATGAGCCTGGGCAGCTGTGACAGCCAGCCAATCCCGTGACCACGTTCGCCGCGACGGCAGCTGAATGCCCTTACTTAGCTAAAACAATTATGGTGGCTCGTGCGTGCGTTTTCAAGCTATCGCTGACAGCTGCACTGGGAACTAGCTGGAATCGATCCTTTGCGACATCAGCCAGCCGAACCTCTGTGCAACTGACATTTTATCTTGACACCTATTGATTCAATCCCTGACCTTCACGTTCCATATGTTTATGTAAAAGAAGAGACGCTTGGTGCCAAAAAACTGGACTTGATCCTGCAGAATACATCAAACGTAAACATACCATACCGTTGATAACCTGAGCTGGAATCAGGTTGTTATGCAAGTTTGGGGTGTGGTGAACCTGGGTTGAGCGATGGTAGTTCGGGATTTTCATCATATCGTCGGGGGTTTACAGGGCCACGTTTGAAGTTGATTCTCGAAAGTTTCCATCGGGTGTGCTGAAGTTGTTCCGTTCAAGGTGTCCGTCTTGTCCAAGACTCTCCCGTAGCTGACCTGGCTTGGCTCTCATGTTCTTGTTTGTAGTTCCTCCCGTGGCCAGGAATATACCAGGGGAAGATCATGTTAGCGTGTTTGTGTGGTCTATAGTTTACGCTTGATTGAGAATCGAGTAATGTAATCCAATCTTGTACTTGACAAGGCTGTGTACAAAAATAGTTTAAGCTGGGATTTGCAAACTGCTGTTGGTACGCCTTTAGATATCATTAAACTGCCTGATGTTTTCTTTGGGTGATCATGTCGTTCAAGGTGGTGAAATGGCGTCGAGATTATCCTGCCACAACTCATTGTGGTTAATGTGATCAAACCTCTAACCCCAAACATGACAGAAATTATTGTAGGTTCAGTATTCCTGTTGAATATCCTTCTGACTGGATAATTGGACGGACCACTTTGACATTGAGAGATGATGATTGATGATGGTAATGGTGGTGGTGGCATCGTAATGTTAGGCTGTTGATCATCAACCTACTACCATCGCTTTGTCCATACATATAATGATATTCAGACGAGTGTAAGCGCCTTGCCGATGCTTGCTTCCAGTCCACATCTCAACAAGCATTGACTTCATATGTATACAGTTGGCTTTTTTGGATACCGCCCGGCTACACATAGGTATATCACAATGCAGTTGGTTGAGTTGTCCGCGAGTGGAATGAAACACACGGCAATCCATACTGTCGCTGACGATTTTCGCCAGTGATGAATTTAGTTCAGCTCCTATGTAGTTCTGTAGGTGTGAAAAGTTCCAAACTTCCAGCATTTTCCACTGCAACCACATGAGCCACTTGGCCTGTGTCGGTATCAGCCGTCAGCCGAAACCGCAACTAGACTACAGCACATGTAGCAAAATGTAAAGAATTTTCCCCAATTCACCTTACTACCACCCATTGATCACAATTCTCATCTCATCTGCTTCTCCCGAAGATGCGAACACGGCACGGCGATGTTGAATTGGTCCACATCGGGTACCCACGTACGCGGAGGGTTGGCTATGGTTGAAAAAAGTCTTGCATGCCAATGAGGCATCAACGGGTGAGGGGAGGTTGGAATTGTCAATGCACGAAACCTGACTGTGCACGACACAAACCCTTCCGTCCATGTCGTTGTCGCGTGTCAATGTAGGTACATGCTGCGTTTCTACCTAACTAGTAGGTACGGTAGCCCGTCTTTCGGGAATACGATGCCATCCTCGATGTCACTGCAAGTAATGGGACGCAGGAAAGGCCAGGGTGAAAGAAATGGCCGTAATGGGCTTTGAGGTCTGGGGATGACGAAGGTACAGCACCAAAATGTTGTGCATGTAAAGACTTGTTGGAGTAGCATTGGAGGCAAAACGAAGAGGCCCATTCAGGCTTACCGCGTGGATGGAACAGACTTCTATGTACATATGCGATACCGCATCTGTTGGGGATTCGCAGTCTGTCCGTGTTATTGGGCGCCAAGTCCGCAGCCGCGCAAGAAGAAGGTAGATGCCCATTGTTGTTCGTAGCTGCTGAGAGTTGAAGACTGGGAAAACAGCCATGATAGAGGTAGGTAGTAGCTAGATTGATTCCTCGAAAACTCTCGTATATCCTTACACAATAACTTCGTCAATGAGGTTTCCTCTTAGAGTTCAGTTGTGCAGCATCCCCCAGAAGTCGTCCCAAGAAGATGATACTCCCGCCAATGGCATGTCGTCATGCTGACTAACTTGAGCCAGCAAGCCCCAGGCGGGGGAGACAACGGAAGGAGGGGAGCTCCTCTCCAAATTTGGAAAGACGGGACCCGCACGGCCCAGTGCGCGTTGTTGTGGATCAAAATTCAGTTGAGAATGACGCAAAAGAGCGGGGATCATTGGATGGTTGCGGCTGTTCTTCTTGCTGACCAGCCACTGTTTTCTCAGCCGAGGCAAGTACACCTATGGCGGCATCATGCTGAGCTTTTGCTGTATATGACGCTGGACGTTTCTAGAGAGAAAACAGCTTTGACGGAGAGAAAGTTGCTGGGAAAAATCCCATCAAAGAATTGGGTAGAAATCTAACTGTTTGGGTTAACACCCATCGGCGTTGGTGGGGAATTTGTGGCTGATATGGGTTTAAGTGAATGGAGTTCCGTTGCAGAACATGAGGGGTGAAGTGCAGGAATCCCCGCGCCGATAGGTTGCAGTTGCAAGGGATCAGGGGACTTTGGAGGAGACTATAGGAATGAATGTTGCTCTGGAACCAATGCCGGGCAGTGGGGACCCAACAGCCCAACTTGTGCTTGTCTTGTTCCTTTCCGGCCTCGCTAGAGGTACTATTTCTTCGCTTCTTGTCTGACTTTTTTCAATAGCTGTCTTTGGGCCAGCTTGGCTGTGAGATCGGGGCCGCATGGGAGTATTCGTTGCTGTTGGTTGGGTGAAATGCAGTTAGTCGAGAGGGCAACATGCAATGATCAGGACCAGACAACCCAAAGAAATTGAACGGTGGGCGTTGTTGTTACACCCGGTATGTATGGTATTGTAATAGGGCAATCTGATTGGGAAAGGTCAGACAAAAGGTGATTTGACTTTGCTGGAGCGGGGATACGCACAGATCTGGAGAACCCTCCGCAGATAATAAACAGTCGTACCCAAGGTAGAGTAATGCAAGTGGAATTCGGGATCCCCCCTGAATACTTTGGGGTAAGGCTCGTGGGAAGACAAAGCGCGGCGGAGCTTCATGTTCAGATACATGGAGGCTCTGAAATGTCCATGGATGTCTCAAGAGTCGGAGTGCGAAGAAAAAAAAAATGAACAGAAATACCTGCCAAAGTTGGGGCGTTGAGGTGAGGTACCGTCATGCATCTGAATGGCAACTCGGTGGTTCGCAAGCTTGACGCCATGCCTGTTGACCTGCGTTAACGCGGGCAGTCTACATACTAGAGGTACCATTGACGCTCGTTACGTACTGGGCGTATTTGACGGTGATGGTGCATCGATGTTGGGACGGGCGGATTCCTTAGTGCCCAGTGGCACTGTGCACGTACTGGACAGCTGTGACGGACCTCCAAAAGTTGCCATCGAGATCGAGCAACCCAGAAAGAAGGGGAACCTTTTGGCGGCGGCAACCTCGAATGCATAGAATTGGATCCCATTGAGTTAGGTTTGCAATATCATGATCTGTACGTCGGAGGTAGCTATCTGTGTAGCAGTGTTGCCCCCCAGTTCAAGAGTAGCCGAGTTGGAGGATGTATAAACAAACCTCAAACTTCTCCCCTCTTCTATAGCGTTACTGCCCAATTACCTATCCTATCCAAAGAAACCGGCGGCACTACCTACCTACTACTACTACCGACTTTCCCTCTTGCTCCCGCTTTCAGACTTCCTTCAGTCATCCAGTTCCAGCTTCACTTCAGACTGTCAACGTAGCGTAGGTAGTCTTTTGTCTGTCCTACCGTACCCTTCCCGTCCGCAGCAGACTTCATCTCGCGCCCACTTACACGCGCCTCCCCTTGTTCATGAGGACCTCGCGTTACTCAAATTCTGACTCCTCAGGTTGGGTCTAGTATCGTGAGATTCAGTTCCAGATCTGCCTCTGTTGCTGCCCGAAGGCACTGTTTTCCAGTTCCGTTTGTGCCTCCCTGCCCTAGAGGTGGAACTCTTCGAGGTACGTTCCGGTTTGTGAGACACACACTTTTTCTCTTCCTGCGACACCGCAGCACCTGTGTCGAGCCGTCGAGCCGGTGGTATTCGCAGCCCAGACTCCCAAGCGAACCTAGCTCAGAGTTCGAAGCCGTGCGCCGGGAAGAGGTTGGAAACTCGGTTCAGGTTGAGGTTCCAGTAGCTTCAGTGAGGCCCCATTCCCCGCTTCCGGCCGGGCTTTTAAAAGCTTCGCATCCCCAGCTGCACCCCTGAAGCTTCCCACCCAGACCCCATTCCGGGTAACATTCCTAGAAGCTCTACCCCACCAGTGCGTGTTGTCTCGTCCTGGCTACGTCGACCTGATCTGCTTCAAATAGAACCCAACCGTCTGCTGGTCCCTCTTCTTGCTACGTCTACTCGTCCTCTCTTCCTCTCTACGAACCTGAAAAATCAGTGTTCTGTGGCAGCTTCTGGTTACTAACACGAAGCTCGGACGACAGAAGCATCTTGACTTCGGCGCGCCCGTCACCCATTCATATTGAGCCACAATGGCCCACGACAACCGTGAACCCCGCGAGGTCAAAAACCACCTCCTCTTTGAGGTGGCGACCGAGGTCGCCCATCGAGGTATGCGTAAAAGTATCGATTGCGCCAGGAAGGGGCTTCCAATCTAACAATTGTTCTAGTTGGTGGAATCTACTCCGTTCTCAAGTCGAAAGCTCCAGTTACAACCGCTGAATATGGCGACCGTTACACTCTTATCGGTCCCCTGAACCACCAATCGGTACGCTACTCTTGCGCCCTTTACACTGTGGTTTGAAACATGGTTGTTGACAGGAATGATACCAGGCGGCCGTCGAGGTTGAAGAGCTAGAGCCATCCAACCCCGAACTAAAGGCGACGATTCAGGCCATGAGAGACCGTGGCATCGGCATTCTTTACGGACGATGGCTCATTGAGGGAGCTCCCAGAGTGTTGCTCTTCGATACAAAGACCGCTTACGGTTACATGAACGAGTGGAAGACGGACCTCTGGAATGTTGCTTCCATCCCATCTCCGGACAACGACGAAGAGACGAACGAGGCCATTGTCTTCGGTTACCTGGTCGCATGGTTCCTGGGCGAGGTCAGTACTTGCGTCACAAAGCAGAGAGGCGCCCGAAGCTAACAGAATCGTAGTTTGTATGCCATGAGAAGAGAAAGGCCGTCATCGCCCACTTCCACGAATGGCTTGCCGGTGTCGCGCTGCCATTGACCAAGAAGAGGCAGATTGACGTTACCACCATCTTCACGACACATGCCACTCTTCTCGGTCGCTATTTGTGCGCCGGCTCAGTAGACTTCTACAACAACCTTCAGTGGTTTGACGTTGACGCCGAGGCTGGAAAGCGCGGAATCTATCATAGATACTGCATCGAGCGAGCTGCCGCCCATTCCTGCGATGTCTTCACCACCGTTTCCCACATCACAGCTTACGAGAGTGAGCATTTGCTCAAGCGCAAGCCCGATGGTGTCCTCCCCAATGGTCTCAACGTCACCAAGTTCTCGGCCATGCACGAGTTCCAGAACCTCCACCAGCAAAACAAGGAGAAGATTCATGACTTTGTCCGTGGTCACTTCTACGGCCATTACGATTTTGAGCCAGAAAACACGCTCTACTTCTTTACTGCGGGTCGCTACGAGTTCAGGAATAAGGGTGTGGACATGTTTATCGAGTCGCTTGCCCGTCTCAACCACCGCCTCAAGACCGCCGGAAGCAAGACGACAGTTGTTGCTTTCATTATCATGCCTGCCCAGACCACTTCCTTGACCGTTGAAGCATTGAAGGGACAGGCTGTCATCAAGTCTCTGAGAGATACCGTCGATGTTATTGAGCGTGGAATTGGCCGCCGCATCTTTGAGCGCTCTGTCAAGTGGCACGAGGGCGACCCGTTGCCTGAGGAGAAGGAGCTGATTACCAGTCAGGACCGTGTTCTCCTTCGTCGTCGTCTCTTTGCCATGAAGAGGCACACGCTCCCACCCATTGTTACCCACAACATGCTCAACGACCACGAGGACCCAATTTTGAACCAGATCCGCCGGGTACAGCTCTTCAACCATCCCTCAGACCGAGTCAAGATTGTTTTCCATCCCGAGTTCTTGAGCTCGGCCAACCCCGTGTTGCCTCTCGATTACGATGACTTTGTGCGCGGCACCCATCTGGGCGTCTTCGCTTCTTACTACGAGCCTTGGGGCTACACTCCGGCAGAATGCACTGTGATGGGTGTACCAAGCATCACCACCAACCTCTCTGGATTCGGCTGCTACATGGAGGAACTCATTGAGAACTCGAGCGACTACGGTATCTACATCGTGGATCGTCGCTCCAAGGGAGTCGATGACTCGGTCAACCAGCTTACTCAGTACATGTTTGAATTTACCCAGAAGAGCCGCAGACAGCGCATCAACCAGAGAAACAGAACCGAGCGTTTGAGCGATCTCTTGGACTGGAAGCGAATGGGTATGGAGTACGTCAAGGCACGCCAACTTGCGTTGCGCCGCGCCTATCCTACATCTTTCAATGGCGAGGAGGAGGAAGACTTCATCCCAGGAGTCGAGCAAAAGATATCTCGTCCCTTCTCAGTACCGGGCTCGCCTAGAGACCGGACTGGTATGATGACCCCTGGCGATTTTGCTAGTCTTCAGGAGAGTCACGAGGGTCTGAGTACCGAGGACTACGTTGCATGGAAGTTACCGTAAGTGATGGTGATGTCCTCTCAACATGTTGAAAAATGATACTGACTTCTGATTCTAGTGAGGAAGAGGACCCCGAAGAGTATCCTTTCCCGCTTACCCTGAAGCAGCGTACGGGGCCGGGTAGCCCCCTCGACAGTATTCAGGGTCTACAACTCAACGGCACCAGGTAACGCGAGCTCTGTTGCCTTGGTCTTCTTTCAACATCGTCCAGTCATTGGTTGTCAGGGTTTATGTTTCCCCAAAAAAAAATACACGGGCTTCGTTGGGCGGAAATCTGATTTGTTCGTCCGAGCTATTCACCCTGGTCCCCGGGAGCACTGGAGCTCGCAGAGCATAGCAAGACGAGGGTGCGATAGAAGAGTCCTATCATTGTCGGGTTGAGCAGGTATAAGGGTTGACGGGAGAAGGGCCGAGACGTGGGGACGTAGTATCCTCCCGGTCCTCCTTTCAACCTTCGTGGTCCCCGGTGAAGTCAAGCTCTTGTAAAGCCAAAGCGGAGCGAGTTCCAGTCCTCGACGTCGGGTTCTGAGCAGGGTACATTAGGGTAGGAACAGGACCGACGATGTGTGTAACTGTACAGTGTATTTGGCTGGCGGAGGATTCCATCGTTTTCTTGTATCTAATAGAATCGGGCTTTCTCAGGACATTGATGGTGGTGATTCTATATGCTCAAATAGGCCGGCCGGCCTTTAGTAATAGGGTATATGTAGGCCCTGCACATCCATTTTCCCCAAAGCTGAATGCCGATAAATAGAATGGATTTTGACACTTCATGGATGTTCATCCCTTTGTCTTCTCAGGGGGGGGGGGGGGGGAACCGAGACGTTCATAGGCCGCAGAACAACGTGCAATGAAATCCCCACTCCAGATATTAGTTAGGAGGTTAGCACTTACAAGGACGTGGGCACGAAGCAAACCAGCATCAGTTGCCAATCATTGGAAGTCAGGAGCTCATCTCTTTGTCTAATCTGCCCAGTCGCCTTTGGACAGTAAGCGCGTTTGAGGCAAAAACGCAATATCGATATATCATAGGAGGGGAAAGAGTGCTAGACCGATTCCGTGGCGCATATTCCAGCAACGGAATGAAAACAGGCTGACACCGACGGAGGGGGGGGTTGTTTGCTTGGCGGCCAGAGATGGCGTTCACTTCCTTCAATCTGGGCTGTGTGCCGTGGGTGTTGTGCTTCGTTGCCTCTCCTGTCCATTTCTGACGACGCAGCAATTCCTCATAAGGGAATCACAGCCGATTCGGGAGCATCACCCAGCTCTCTTTCCTGCTCTTTGACCTGCTTGAGGTTGCAACACCCTTTCGGTTACGACGTGCAAACACGTTCCATCGGGCGCCTTCAGCAAGCACATCAAGTCCTGTGCGACCCTAGCCATTGTGTACACTACTACATATATATGTCCATAGTACCGTGACGCCTATCGTGCGTTGCTTCAAAGCCTGTGCGCTGCCTGCTTCCCCCCTTTTGAGTAGGTACGTGGTCCTCCGCTACTACCTAGGTTCACCACGTTAACTGCTTTGGTCCCTCTCCCCCTAGGACGGCATCTGCAAATTCTCGTTATATTTACCACATTCCCACGAGGTGCCGCCATTAGCAAACAGGATTGTCAACAATCCCACCCTAGGCAGTGGTGAAACGAAACACTCGAAGCCATCGGTCAGTGCTGGTTTGCCGGAGTATTAAAGGCCCCACGCTAGGGGTAACAACAACAGCGGCACAGCCTGCATTCATGCCCCAACGCGGAATCTCCCCAGGCCCCCCTTGACAAGTTCCTCTCGATAACAGTGGCCGGCCGGGTTCACGCCCCTGCAACCTAACATCAACCACTCTTGCGATCGCCATCCAGGTACCACCAACCCAACGATATTTCGACCCTGCCCAGGGTTTGGATCGTCGCTTCTCCAGGGCGGTAGCCGCCCCTTAGACTAGTCGAGTATCCAGCTCCCACGCAACGAGTCTGCCGAGGATTTCGAAGCATTCATCAACCACAAACAAGCCACCACTCTTCTGGCGCTCGCGTCTCAATTCTCCCTTTGTTTCTTCTTACTTTCTCTGCCTATCCCGCTCGGAATCTCAGACTGTATCACGGGGGCGCAACAACATGAAGTTCTTCAGGCGTAATAAAGACAAGCGGAAGGCCAGCGTCGGTGGTTCGGCCATAGCAGCCGCCTTGCCGGGCTTCGGTTACAGCCCCAACAGACAAGTCTTGGGCGCCGGCTTCGATGACGACTCCCGAAACCCATACCCCTCCTACGGCCACGCCCGGAACGATTCAAATGGTCCGTGGGGTTCTCAGTATCGCCATATGGTGACGCGGGAGTCTGCCACCATTCTCGCGAACCTCCCAGCCCCGATTCTCGAACGCATATTCACTTTTGTATGCCCCCATAGCAGGGATACGAGCTACGAGACTTGTGAAGCCAGCTCGACCGAAGATGCTTGCATGCTGTGCGACTTGCGCGATCTGGCGCATTGTGTCGCCGTGTGCAAGAGGTGGAGGAGAGAGGGCGTCAATCTTCTGTATGTTTAGACCCTTTCGGATGGGCATCAAGCCCCATTTCCCTGTTACCGTCGCGATGGAGAAATACTGACGGGGTCACTACTTCACAGATACTATAGCATCCGCATCGACCAGGTGCATTATTGCGACCGCGAGGCAGACTTAGCCGAAGCCCGCAAGCGCAAAGCCCGATTTGATCGCAATGGAGAACCCGAGGATACGGCGCAGGCGCGCCTCAAATTACTATGCCGCACTCTCCGCGAGGATCCCGTGCGGCTAGGAAGGATCGTGGAATTCTTTAAGACGCCTTATATGCTGCGAGAATCCTGCAGGGCCGATCTGGCGCGGACGATCGCTGTAACGCCAAACCTCAAGTATGTCGATTTGCCCGAAGGCCTGTTTGCAGATGATCCCGCCTTCGTGACCCTTCGGCTCGAAGTACAGGCGCGATGCCTTCACCTACGAAAGATGATATATATGGCAGGTGCGGAGCATAGTCTGCAGATGCTGGCCACCGGAAAAGTGTGGCCTCACCTGGAGGTATTGGAGCTGGTACGCGTGGAAGTCGATCCGGCAATCCTACGCCAGGTGCTTGGTTGCTTAAAGAGCTTGCGCGTCCTGAAGATCAACGACACAACCTGCGTCACCGACGAGACTTTGGCGTGGAACGACATGTTGCCTCCTTTTCCCCCACTTGAAGAGCTTATCCTTACCAACGTTCCCAATGTCACCACAGAAGGCTTGAGGGGCTGGTTAATGGACCCGAACGCGCAGAGCGCACTGCGAGAGCTTACCCTGAACAGTACAGGCGTATTCCCTTGGGCCTTGCAAGAGTTCTTGCCGTATGCTCCAAAGCTTAAGCACCTTTCCGTGATGGACAGTGTCGCCCAAGCCGTGCCGTCCGCCAACGGTCAATACTTTGCACAGACTCTTAACTCGACGAGTCTCCAGACCTTACACTACGAGATCACCCCGGCCTCGTCGACTCCCAAATACTCTGGCATTACCTCGAGCTATTACAGCTTTCTGGCAACTTCCTTACTGACAGGCGGACTACCAAACCTACGGGCACTCTATGTGCGAGACCCGAACTTCCCCGACATGTTACTCGGTCTTCCCACACCTTCCCCCGGCTTTGTTGGAGCCAGTATGGGACGCCCTTCCAGTAGCGGCTCGAATCGTGGTTTCTCCCCCAACAGTGGGCCCATGAACTTTTCACAACCCGGCTCTGGGTTTGGACCTGCTGCTGGTGGTAGCTTTCATTCACACCAAGGCAGCTTATCAGGCTTTGCTCCTCCCACCGCTCCCTTCGTGCCTGGCCATCGTCAATTTGGGTCCGTATCTTCGGTTAACAGCTTCTCGGGTTTCCTGCAGCCGGCAGCCGGCAAACAACCGCCTCCCAACCATCGCTTCAGCAGTAACAACCCCTTTGCCAACTTGGTAGCCCCACCTGCAAATCTCCCTGCCAAGCTCGAGGTGTTCACCAAAGGCGACGACGAAACCACCTGGTCCTTTGTAAAGGTCGGCGGTGGGCCGGCAACGTCCCCTGGCGCGAATGAAAGCCCACAGAGCGGCTATGGCCGGAGGGGCAGCGGCGCTGGTGCGAGGAGGAGCGTGCTGATCGGTGGTGCCGGGGCTGGCGGTGGTTTCTTGGCCTTGCCGGCTGAAGATCCTGGCAGAAGCACTCGGGGAGGGAGTGTGGATAGGGGGACTGGATTTGGCGGTGGTTCTGGTGGGGATGAGGAGTTGTGGCCTAGGCCCAAGAGCAGTTCCGGGGAGAAGAAGAAGGAGAAGCAGGATTTGTGGCGGTAGTCTGATCTGAAGCCGAAATATTAGGTGGTTGATTTCGAAGATGGGTATTTTCCGGACTGTCGCCCTATGAGCTGGCACATGGTGGTTCCTGCGGGTTTGTTTGTCTGCCCTGACTGCTGTTTAGCGTGAATGTGAATGACATGCTCAGCTGTCTGACAAAGGGGGGTAATATGGGAACTGTGGGCGGAGTGTTAGCGGGAACGTTAAGATGGGGTGATAAACAAGAAACAGGTTGCAACTGTCCTTTAATGTTGTACGGTGATATCTCGAAACTGTACAGTAGTAAATAATTCCTCTCACCCCTTCCTCCAAGTATATTATGTCCTGCCTGTCCTGGTTACATTCTCAGTATCAGCAGAGGCCTCACTCGAAATTGACCAGGTAAGTCTGGTGGGGGGTAAATAGCTCCTCTTGCACTTGCTCGCCAGGTAATCGCCAATGCAGGTTCTGTGTCTCTTCATTTGTTTTTGAATGCATCCATCCAGCAGGAACACTCTAGATGTTCTCCTCTTACCTTCAGATAAACCAGCTGCACACTCCTCCATATCTTCTCCAGCCTAAGCTTTCATCAACAACATGCTGCCTACACCCCCTCGAACCAACGAGCCCGGCTAAGTACCAACTTGTCCACAAGCTTCATATAATGCCACCCATCCTCACCATGTCCAACATCAAAGCTCGATTCCTCATTATCTCTGACACTCACGCCTCGCCTAGCCTCCCTTCCTCCCTCCCCGCCATGCCAGTCGACGTAATCATCCACTGCGGCAACCTAACCCAGGAATCCAAGCTTTCCGAGTTCGCCAGCGTACTAGCTTTTTTCAAAGCCATCAACGGGCCGCTCAAGCTGGTCATCCCCGGTAGCCACGACTTCACTCTAGACGATGCCGTGTACGAGACCAAGATTACGGAAACCGCCACCAATCTAGGGGTTAAGGAGAAGGAGGAGATATACAGAATTTACGGCAAAATGGGGCAAGCTCGGCAGCTTTTGTGCTCCGAACAGGCAAAGAAGGACGGGATTTTCTTTCTGGACGAGGGGCGACATCACTTCGCTTTAGGCAATGGAGCATCTTTATCCGTCTATGCTTCGCCTTATACACGTGCCTCTTCCGACGACTACCAGGGACAAGGAAAAGAGAACTGGGGTTTTCAATACACAAAGAGCCAGGGACACGTGTTTGATATTGGATATACTGCAGATGTGGTCATCACCCACGGTCCACCCCTGGGAGTTCTTGATGTTACCGCCTCCGATGCCAAAATCCGTGCTGGATGTCCTTTGCTCTTCGCGGCCGTAGCAATGGCCAGACCGAGACTACATTGTTTTGGACATGTACACGCGGGATGGGGAGCCAAGTTGATTAGATGGCGGGATAGACCGGCTTAGGAAAGCGGGAAAATGCCGTCGCATGTGACGGATATTGACAACGAAAACTCTGTTGTGATTGAGACGCTGGCGGGGTTGAGGATGGGGAAGTGGGATAGTCCTGAGGTTTTGGAAAAGAAGAGGGCCAAGCTAAAGCGGTTGAGGGAGGAGAAGTGTTGCAAGGTCTCGCATTGTGAGGGAGATACGCTGAAACTCGAGCCGAGGAAACATACATTATTTGTCAATGCTGCTGTAGAGCCGGTGGATGAAGGGAGAAGGCGGTTTCCGTGGGTGGTTGAGATTGAACTTTCCAGGCAGCCAGGGCGTTTTAGCTGAGTGAAGTGGAATATTCAGGGCATGTTATCTTTAACCTGGCATGAAGTAGCTGCTTTTCTGATCCATACGTTCAAAGATACTATAGGCATTGTTGCCTTGTCCTTTGGCTGTCAACAAGGTGGCTGTTCTGGAGTGACAACTTGAGACTTGGGTAATAGAAAGTGTTTCGATAAAACTATGTTACCACAACACCTCTACCTCAGAGTTCAAGCCTCTGATCAACCTCGAAAAGATACCTCTATAAGTTGGGCAAAAACGCTACGTCTTAGATGACAAGTCAGCCCTGATTTCAAGAGAATACATAGCATAAACTTTTCCAGTTTTGGTTTCTATGGCCAGCAGTAACTACTACAATACGGTCAGAGTTGAACATCGTGATGGCCTCCTAATTGATCCCGTCGACCTCGCCTATCGGGTGGCCAAATTGGAACCATCAACCAGGCAGTTTCTGATTTCTTTGAGTACAGGTAATAACCGGCTTCTCTCTCGGTGCTCATTACCCCGAATTACGCCACATAGTAGCAAGCATCCGCAATTAAGTCGTAGTGTCTAACATTGACGAGTCTTGGTGAGAATAAGCTGAACATGACAAAATGCTTTATCTCCCAAGGTGCTTTGTTACGCAAGGCTCCGTCCTTACTGTCTCATAAAGAATCAAGTTTGATTCCCTGAACTCTAGTCAAAAGACTTATCAACATTGAACATCTTCAGTAGCGTCATATCAAGCGATTTTGGATGTCTGACTTTTTACATTCCCTTAGCTTGTGGAGCCATGTAATGTTCTATACGTCTTTGGAATGTGTGTGAGTTACGTTAGAATGTATCACCGCGCCATCGACATGCAGCACTCGTCGTTACGTTCGCTATCTCCATCCACTGTTCTTCATGGAAAGCTCCCCCCCCCCCTTTCCCCTTCGGAGGTTCGAGTCACCGTTTATTTTTTTTGATCTTTTTTTTGGGAAAAATTTTTTTTCTTCAACCGTTGACGAACCCAGTTCCAGCCTTGGATATTTCGCAATCAATGTCTATGTATCAGGTTCCCACCTTCTAGAAAACTCCAGTCGGCAGGTTTCACTCCCCTGCCTTTAACTTTAAACTGAGTAACGTCACACTTAGAGAAGTACTGAGTGCGGCTGGTTTAGTTAGTGTCTCAAGTTCGGTGGTAACACCCAAACTCTAAAGTTCATGACGCAACACCACGCCGGTGTCTCACAGATGCGAGAAGGACTATTTCCCGTAATTGGAGACTTCTCTTGATGCAGGATGAGGTTAGACGACGTTGACACAAACCATGCCCAGCAGCCCTTCAAACGTCCAAACTACTAAAAAGTTTTTTTATTCACTAGTGAGACTAGTAAACAAGGAAACGGAACTAACAATCCAAACGGTGAGGAATGAAAACTTTTCACTTCGAGACACCAAAGCGGTGTCCCAAGAAGGAGTGGGTGCAGTGTAGAGTAGTAGTAGTCAAGGTTCACACACACCGCCTCTACCGTCACCTCACCGTTATTTGGAGAAAGCTTCCACTTTCTTGGCTTGTACCTGGTTCCCCAGCCCAGCCTAGAATCCAGGAATTCCTAAATAGATCCGCCTTACGACCCTCGCCATCGCATCACAGTCGCAAAAGCGGTGACCTCAGAAAGAGAAAATCAAACCCTGCCTTGACCGTCCTGGCGGTAGGTTTCCAATCTGGCCCTGATTTAGGCGTTAGGTCTGGCTGGGTCTGGGTCCGGGTATCTCAACCGCCTAGCTGACGCGGCCCGCACCATGCTCGCTCGCCTCTCCTCGTCTCGCCTGGCTGGTCGTTCGCGAAAAGTTCCCTGGTCTAGAACCATGCCCGCCATGCCCGCTATGCGTAAGCCAAGTATGATGAGAGAAGAGAGAGTCAAACGGTTGTACAGTTCGTACGTTCGTAGCACAGCCAAGGCCCAACTCGCTTGATCTAGGAAAGGCTACTAGTACTGCGCGGCACAGGGTTTGCGGAACAGTGGGAATTGGGTTCACTCTGATCGGGTACATAATCATAGTCTTCTTCTGTGGCTGATATTTGACCGTCAACAAAGTGAAGTTGAAACTACCTCCAACTCGTCCTCGCCGGAACGACCCCACAAAAACACAGTCAAAGAATCCCGGCAACTCGCTGTCCCGGACGAACCGGCCAGAGTGCGGGTCGGGAGCCGGGGCTGTCGGGGCGGTCCGGGGAAAGGGGGGAAGGGGGGTACGGCGGGGATGTGTGGCAGGCACCCTTCAACCCTAATTCGATTGTTGGCGCGGTACTTTGATTGACACTTTGCCCCTCTCACGTTCGGTTCGGTGGACTTTGGCGATGCAAGCCCTGGAAAAGTGCTGGAAGCGTTTCCCTTTGGGGTATTGTTTATAAATACTCTCTCTCTTTACCCTGGTTATTCTTGAGAAGCGAACCAATCATATAGTCTAGATCGCACATTCTTTCTCTGTTCCAAGTCGAAAGAAGTCACTCACTAACAATAACACTAGTAGTATCAAACTGTACAAGCAGATTTGCGGGGGATTCCAACCAAGATCGTTCCTTGTGTTTTTGAACAGGATTCCGATATTTAGGCTCGGAAGACTTCCAAGTGCCAATTCCGCGTGCGCCACCCAGAAAAGTCCACGACTGCCTGCACATGATGCTCACCAGCCACTCGGCCGTGAACTTCGGTGACAGGATAATGTGGTGAGGGTGACATTGCTCCCTCAATGATTCCATACTGCGTCAAAGCGAGCATTGAGACGAAATAATATACATTGGCTTCGATTTAGATAATCTTTTTTCTGTTCTCCAAGGAGTTACAGACCCCTCTGCGAGTGCATGCTGGTCATGCCTCAAAACAAGATACCTCGATTACATTTTGGTAAAGCCGTAAGGGCAAGGAGCATTTGATGCAATCCAGCCTCCAAGATGGCTGGCGGTACGATAACGCCATTGTGACGATGATGTTCCAGCAAACGCCACGATTAGTTCACATCTTTCATGTATACGTTAGCTACGTAGGTAGGTTTCAGTGCCCATACGACGATGCTGAGCTGATTTTCACGGTACCATGTGTGTAACTAGCGAAGCACCTTGAAAGATGACTGGCCAGAAGGAACCGGCTTCGATGCCATTGGAGATGTCGCAGATGCCCGGAGGACGACTCCTTGGTGTAACCCGTCCGCCCGCATAACCTGTACAACCTCACAAGTGCCGTGGCGATAGGTACTAGTGGAGTGTACAGGCCCTCGGGAACCAGGTGCTATCTACCTTGCCCGGTGTCTTGTGTGTCGCAGATTCGCGCCGGAGCCGGGAGTGTATCAAACCAACGTCCACGACTTCCTCACGGCAATCCAAGGGTAGTACCTGGACAAGCATTGGTCGCTGCCTTGGGAGACTGAGGATTCCGGCTCGGTGTCCCCTGAATCCATCACAACAACAAAACAAAAAAGAAAAAAGAAAAGAAAAAAAAAGATTGCCCATCTCAAACACATTGTCATTGTCCTGCTGAAACCTCCATGATCATGAGCGGGAAATCCTGAAAAGATATTGTTGCTTCTTCAGAAGGACCTACCGATGCGGAGATCCCCCTGCCTGGCAGTGTGTAATAGCGGGGGGCCCGGGGGGTTGGCAGCAGGGGCACATTGTCATCGTCGGGAGTTATCCATTCGATCGTCATTGCAAGATGGAGATAGCGGCCTTTAAAACGATGCAAAGTTGGAGGATGTCGAGCTGATGCTAATTGAAGGACAAGCTCCATTCCAGGTAACACCATGCACAGGCACTGTCAGATCCAGCAATAACCCGTCCCCCAGATTTCCCCTGTCCCCTCCTGTTTGCATACCGGTCCAAGTGTCACCGTTCGCCGATGGGAACGTTCTTAGCTGACGATAACTGTAATCACATCTCGGGTTGTACAGCGGCCACCTAGATTGAGAGACGTGACCAAATATCTTTTATTCGAATTCATGACCGCCTTTTCTCGATATGACGTGGGGAGATGAGCAAGAACGCCGCCCAAGGCTCATGGCTCAGACATACCTTGGGATTTTAATCCTTCGGTGCCTGTTGTTGGTAGCTTTGTAAATAACTTCGGACTCCTTGGGCCGCCTGAGCCATTTGAGCCACATGAGCCACTCTCCTTTTGGGCGGACTGGGGAAGAAGGTCGGTTGAGATGAGGAGGATCTTGTTGGCGGTAATCGCCATCAGTAAAAACTCCTTAGCAATTCGATGCTCCACGGTGATCACACAATAGCTGGTCATTTGCGAGATATCAACATGATGGGCATAGCAGGAAATGCATGAACAAGGCCGAGAGAAAGTTGAGATGGTCACATTGGGATAGGAGGGTAGAGCTGGTGGAGGTCTTTTGAGATATCGATATCTCTTTTTCAATGTTAAAATCAATAGGATGAGCCCCTGTGAACGATGATTGGACCAGAAGGAAGGCGCCACTGGCGGTTGTCGCGACAGACGGATGATGCATGGCAAAGCATTCGACCACCCGATACTCGGTTGAGAGACTTACAATGTCGAGAGCCCAAGGAAAGCTTCAAATCGGTAACTTGAAGCATGATGGAATGCTGAGTCCGATGGCGCCTGCTGCAATCAACCGGTCAAGGCAGCTTTTGCGATGATGCGGTAGGCGACAACACAGTTGAGACAGTATCAGGAAATGCTGAATCGACGTATCAGTTTTGGCATTCTGGGTTTCGGAATGCCATACATGCTCCAGTCTCGAATAACGCTCGGGTGTTACATGTATCGGACAGTAAGAACACCTTCTGTCATGACTTTCCTTGGCCAATGACTCTAACCATACCAAGAGTTTAAAAACAACATCACCGGCAGCATCGTCCGACTCGAAGCTTGGAAGAACCAGACGATGTCGAGGATGGCCTCCCACACTGCCAAAACTGCTACACTGCACAGCATGTGAGTGAGCAGCACTGGCGAGAACAAATGCTCCAATCAAACGGACAGTTCAATGCTGCCGCCGCCGACGATGTCGAGATGGAAAATCCAATCACAGACACCTTGGCATTCCCAGTCTGAGACCCCATGGCGTCCAATCTTACCAATAAGGCCCTTGGTCGAAGGGGTCTCGGACCCCTGGTTGGCCCTCTCCACTCGTGTCCTCGGGCCTGTTCGTCTTTTACCCGTTGTGGAAGCCAAGGTGTGAAGGGACCCGAAGCCACGGCTATGAGGCTGGAGATGAGAACCAGACGCGCCGTTTTGGTTCCGTACTATGGTGTTGGTGCCGTTTCTGCAATCGACTTGGCTTTTGGGGGGGGGGGGGCATTCATTTGATATGTAGTGTGATACAGATGTCGAAATTCCAGGATCTGTCGGCTTCTTCCCGCGAATCTTGGTCACGACGGTGAGTCTGCAGATGATTGACCAGCACGTCTTCCCTTTGTATCCATCCAGCTGACCGTCAAAAAGATCAAAAGCTCGTGAAGCGCAGAACCCCAATCCCTGATCGATGAGGGGGAAGTGTGGTGGTGTGTGAATTGCTGTGAAAGTCTGCGCATTTTTGCAGCGCTAAAAGATGGCGTAAAAACATGAGCGGAGACTGCTCAACCCGAAGCTCGAAGTAAGAAAGAGACAAGGCATTGCAAGGCAAGGGTTCCACGTCCAGAGGTGAGCATTCGGATGGGAAAGTGGACTCGACAGTCCGACTAACTTGAAACGCGAGTCTTTATCACTGTTCTGATCACCCACGTGCAAATTGCGCTTCCTTGATTCCCATCATTCTGTCGATTCCATCATCGTCGTGTCCGATTGTCCTCGGGGTCCTCATTAAACTTGAAATGCATGGTTGACCGTGCCCCTCTCCGCCTCCCCTACAGTGCCCGGCCGTCGATAAGCTTATGGAGGAGGATTGCGAGGTTGGTGCTTGTACGGCACTCGCTGGGGAAATGGTGGTGATGGGAAGGAATGGATTGGCGTACAGAGAGATTTCGGGAGGCTCAGAACGTTTTTTTTGTTTCTTCCTTTTTTTCTTATCTCTTTTCTGACTGGACTGCCTCTGATCTCGGTCATCCTTGCAGCCCCCTTCATTGGAGCTCATTCCTATTGCGACGCCGGCCTCAGGGGAAAAGGCGAGAATGGAGATGGGTGTGCGATACAACCACAAGAAACTAGGAAGATGGTGTGTGTGTGTGATGGACAAGAAGTCAAGAACCCGTCACTCTGTCCAGTCCAGTGTGTCATGCATTGGGATGCATGCGATCGAAGACATGCGGTGACGCTAGGCGATCTGTTGACTGTAGGCATGCTGCTGTATGCAGGTAGGTTTAGGTGCAGCATCAAAAGCCAACCTCCTGTCTTCTCTCTGACCGTTTTTGTGGTTGATATGCGCACCGTTAATCTGAAATGTGCTGCGACCACCCACCAGACAACCACACCATGCCACCGTCCGGACGGCTACCACGGCTGGCACGGCTTCCACGTTGTGCGACGGAGGACAGAGGACGGTGGCATGCCAGGTTGACTTGTCTCGTCTCGTCTGGCCTGCGCCTGTACCTCAGTACCATCCCCAGCACACCCCCCCCCGTCAGGTCCTGACCAGGTCGTGACAAGCGTAATGACCCCATGCAGAACTGGGTCTCATTAAAATAACATCTGCCCACCGTCGTGGATCCATCTGCCGTTCCTCGTTGCTCCTCTCCATTTCCTCCATCAGAATAGTACGACGCCAAGCCAGAGCAGCACACAAAATAGCCTTTGGTCTTCTAATATTTACCTGCGCCTGCCCTTCCCCAGGGCTTCAACATTTACTACATTGCTCTCTTCATCCAGAATCCCATCTCCAGCCACATCATGTCGACAGATACACAATCCCTCCCGACCAGGGAGAGCACACCAAGTATTACAAGACCCATATCAGAGACACAGACATCCGATATCACAACCGCCCAGGTCTACACCCGCAATCCATCTTGCGACAGCACAATGTACGGCGAATTTCCCGAAGTGGTGGATGCCAAGAGGGTAGAGCAGCAGGGGGAGGAGGAAACCGTCCCGGCATTGCCTCAGAAGAGTGCTCTGAGGGCTTCAAGGTTGCTTGACAGCTTGGCTCAGCTCAAGATGAGTGGGACGGTTGAGACTGCCGAGTTGGAAAAGCCGTCTCCACTTGGCGACGTCTATCTCTCTTCCGAGGAGGAAGCTTCCTCGGACACCGACAGCCTATCCGACTATGTCTACGAGTCCAGCAACGAGAAGGAAGCCTCTAGCGCCACAACGACCTCCCGACGAAGTAGCCGTGAAGACACTGCCCGTGTTGTTTCGGTCATCTTTTCTGGCAGGCCCTCGATCGTCGACCTCACCACCCTCAGGAGGGGTTCCGCAGCGCCGAGCCTAGGGGGAGGCCACATGAGGAAGCGGTCAAGCACAGTGTCCTGCAATATCCCCATCGAGCGGACGGTCACACCAGCCAGCCCCATGTCAGCTTTTGCGCTTCCCGAACGGAAGAGTAGTCTTCCCATCGATATGATGCCCATGAGGAAGCCTCACTTTCTCAACGTTGACCCGTTCGCAAACGGCAGCTCCATCTCGCTGGATGTTCCCAGAGCCGATACTGCAGAGGACGTGACGAGCCCGGCGAGATCTCCCAGGACACCAACTATGACTCTGTTGAAGGGAGTTACGAGGACCTTCAGCCTCGTTAGGAAGAGGAGCCGTCCGGCGCTGGCGAGCCCCCAGCCACTATCAGAGCGCACCACACCGCCTCCTTCAAGACACTCTATGAAGCCGCCACCATCCCGCAGCAGCATGATGCCGCTCTCTGTCACCATGCCTCTCCCTGAGGAAGCCCCGGAGCAGCTTGTTGTACCGGGGTCACCCGCTACCTCTGATAAGTCGTCAAGGAAGAACTTCAGAATGTCCACGCCATCTGGGCCATCCTCATCGCCACAGCCTCCATCACTGCCAGAGGATGCTTCGCCCGTCTCTCCTCTTTCTCCTACCAGCGTCCCAAGGAGAGGACTCCTCAGCGGGTTTGCGGCAAGGCGCAAGAGCATCAAGCTGACGGGACGGATCAACATTGCATAAAGCGACGCGACACGCAGCATGTACCAAACCGAACCAGACACTGATAATTTTTTTTTTTTTTACGGCATATTGCGAGCATGGCGTTTTAAAGCTTGGGGAGCGGGCACAGTCCGCAGTATCGCATACAACAAGAAAGAGGTTGAGTTGGGAGACCTAAAATGGAAAAGAGACGCAGACGGGAATGACTTGGACACACAACACACACAGATTTTCGGATCACATGGCGGAGCAGAGAGAGAGGAATTTGACATCTGTCATGCCTGCGCAAAAGCATATTCAAGCACAGCAGGCCGGCGATTATCTTGTCTTTTTTTTTTTTTTTTTATCGTTTATTTCATACATATTGAATGGAGTTCTCGGGTCATGGGAGGTCTTCACGCAACGTCATCTTCGGTTGCTCTGTCTTTTTTCTCGTTCGCTATTTTTTTTTTTGTTGTTGGTTCTTTTTCTAGACGAATGTTATGATACCACAGGGCGCTGTTCTGGTTTCTTCGTTCCTTCACAGGCACAATATCTCCGCTACTACGCACTATTTCCATTCATTGTATGGATGGCTTCTACAAAATTGAAAGACAGGCATTGTTTGCCAAAACAACATACAGAATCACACTCCCGTCGCTACCGTGGCTTGCTATGATGAACGTAACATTGTATTTGCTTTTTGAAAGATTCAATGGAATCAAGAAGCAGATCCCCACCAAACCAGCACCTCGAAATCGGTCATGCCGGCCTGCCATTGAATGTCACCCATTTTCTTCATGCCTCTGTTCTTCGTATGTTTTTATATGTATTTTCTTCATGCCACACCGGGTTCCTGGCGAGCCATGCTACTATAACCGGCAGCCCTGGATGCATACCCTGCCAATGTTTCTTTGAAGTAGGGATTATGCGGAGATAATGGTTCCGTAGGGGCAATCGCTGGCGAAGACCGGCCTCAATGAGACGTCTTGGGTTCTTGGCTTCACTTCCCGTTCCCCTGTCCAGCTTTCATTGCAGCACACGTCGGAAAAATTTCAAACTTTTTTGACAGTGCATGAACTGAATGCAGGTACAGCTAACTAGTAGCTGTGACTTTTACAAGGTCGAATCAGGGGAAGAATGACTTGCAGGTCAGCAAAGGCTGATGAAATGCACGAACATCATCGAAGCCGAATCACCTCAAAATTTCAAGACGTCCGATTTCGCAACACGAGGTGATGAATATCCGCCCTCCGTTATCTCTCAAACGCGATTCAGGAAATTTGTTTCATAGTTTCATCGTTTTGACGCCTTGATAAGGTAAGTCCATGGTACAGTCTCCGACATGTTCCGCATACCAACTCCACCAGCTCTCAAGGTCCCCCGTCCCCCGTGGCCATCTCCGTTTTCTTGGTTCGTCAATATCAGAGAATCTGGAGGCAGATTTTAAAATGAGATTGGAGAGATCGTAAACCGTACGGGTATGGAACCGAACCGGAATTGGACGACGATAACAACACCGATGTCTATTTTCATGGGATGCATGGAGACCATGGGAACCCATGGGAACCCAGCCAAGGGTGGGTCATCCGTGCGTCGGATGGGCTAGGTGTAATTATGGGGCCTCAGAGGATGAGAGGGGATTCGGAAAACGGAGACGGAGACAGTGAACTGCGTGGACTAAATGGATGGGTTGAAGGCTGAAGCTTGAAGGAGGTCCGAGCATGAAATAAAAAAGCTATCGTCACTCGGACACTCAACATGGACTTCACTTTACCTGATCAGGTCGGATTCGCCGAAGTGTCTCTTCGGTCTCCAGAAAGAAGTTACTGACGACGGATCAAATGGGGGAAATAAGGGAATGCAGTCAAATGTGGGGCCGATGCAACTTTCGATAAACGCTGCGTTCCCCGTCCAAAATCCTTTTCGCCAATCTCGGATCCTGTACACGAATCCAATTGTGATGTGATTCGTTAGCGTGGAGTTTTGTATGAGGCGTTCCCCAAAACCCCAACGCAAAAGATCATGACAATCGATTGACCCAAAAAAATAGAATGTCACTTGCGCTGGGATATGTGCTGGGTGATCTTGATGTCTGCATTCTCGCCCTTAAAGAGATAGTCCATCCATGGGTTCGACATAAAGGTGCCTGCCTTTACACCGATCAAGTACATGTCAATGAGCTAAGGGGAAAGTATATCTTGGTTAGCACATCGTGTCAGAACCGAGGTGTGCCAGGCTGTACGGCCCGCGACACCCGCATCTCGAGGTCGGCAAGCAGGAAGACACCTACTGATATACAAAAGTAGGCCATCTTAAGCTTAGAGGGAACCACTTAGCGTGAGGAAGGAAGCTATCGCCATGTACAAGTCAGACGAGCGAGGAGTGGGGTGGACCGAGGAATCGTGTGAAGGAAGTATAAACCAGTCCCCCGAGCCGTTCGGTTGGCGCTTTCAATTCAACGAAGCACATTGCCAATTCTTTGGGCTTCCCATTGTCTTATGTATATATACCTCCCCCTTGATTCCGGTCTGAGTGGGTTGACATTCAGCTGCAGGTTCATTGTGTAACTGGACCCCACAGTTTGTGCATCTTATGCGCCGTCAGCAGTTACATACTAAATGTACCGCTCTGCGCCATTCATCCCCAGATCACCACCTACAACAAACTCCAGCCTGCAGGTATACTGACCATTTATTAGATGGATGATAATCCTGATGCGCCAGCAAGACATGTAGCGATATCAGAACGGATTTCTCCAATACAATGACTTTTCAAAGGCTCTAATACTATTTGTAAGAGCAAGAGCTTAGGCCAGTGCGGGCCAATGCAGGCATATTCTCGTAACCCGTAGTCTAGTGTAGTTGCATCAACCCCCGATCGCACCTTCCGCTGCAGAACATCTCCGTACGTCACGAATCTGTTGTACCTTCCGTCTCAAACGAGAAGCGTCTACAAGCACGCCGGCTTCCCCCCTTTGAAAGGTGAATTTTTCTTTTCAGTTGCCGTATTCAATTCCTTTCGGCTGAGGGCAAACGATTCATTGTTTAACATCGATCAGATGGAGGCTGTTGAGATCCGTGTCTGGGCGCCCATTCACTGGGATTCCCATTCACCGGCACTCGCTTCCTACTTAGGTAACTTATAAGTTGCCGTGGTTTCGTTTTTGCTCTTCCATTACCAACCACTACAGAATCGTTGCCCTTCTTTTTGTAGCCGCTTTTCCAGTCAAAAGCTGACTCTTATCCGGCATTGATAAATTGGCCCACACTCAGTGCCTGGCCTCTACAGCGTCTCACACGCCGCCCGAAACCTTTAGCGACTTGCAGAGGATTCAGCGTCTGAACGCAACAACGATATCCTCTCTCTTCTCGATCCCCTTGACCTTCGGAAAACTCAACTCCAACCATGCCCGTCATCGTCGACCTGGACGCCGAAGCGGCCCCAAAGCCCCGCATTCTCGTCGTCTCTCTCGAATATCAGGAGTGCTATGACGAATCTGTCAACCGGTTCTTGACCCCCATGACCGAGCTGGCTACTGTTCAGCGCGTCAAGAAGGCCGCCACCCTCACCCGTCTCCTCACCAACGAGAGTTCTGAGCCGTACTCCGCCATCGTCCTAACTGACGCCGCGCTCACGCTTCCCGAAAACCTTCCTCTCTGGGAGCACGTCCTCTCTTACCTGCGCCGTACAGGCGCCACCGCTGTACTCACCGGTCAAGTGGCGTGTTTTGTCATCCCCGGTGACCTCGACGACTTTTTCCGTGTCTCGGGCCTTCCCGAGTGGAAGGCCGGCATGTACCAGCGCAACATCGTCGTGATGAACGAACAGGCCGACGGCATCCGCGACGCTACGCACTTTGACATTGGCGACAAGAATGGTCTTAAGGCTGCCTACAGCGTCAAGTCGCTGTGCCTGTCGGGTGTGAAGAGCGAGCACAGGTGGTATGTTCCCGACGCCACTCAGGAGGATCCAAACCTGAACATCGCCGCAAGACTTACTAGGAGTCCTGAAGGTCGGGATCCGGAGCGGGTGCGCCAGCAAGCTGCGGTGGCATACGGTCCCGTGGGAGAGAAGGGTAGAATTGGCTGGGTGGGCGATATCAACACTGAGGACCCCTCGGTCAAGGTCATTTTGGCCTTGTGCGGGCTTGATCCAGCTAAGGCCCATGTCGAGCCGTTGAAGCCTCGTGGGTTGCGGTTCGACGCTGCACAAGGACGTTTTGTCGAGATTGAGGACTGAATGTTCCGCGAGGAATCAGACAAATCGGCACGCAGAGATGTCTAAGCGCGGTCCCAGACATATGATACTGGTGTTCCATGTTCTTACGGTCCAACTTGCAGTACGGTATGTGGCTCGTCAGTATCATCTATCTGGCTTTTGGCAAACCGGAACACTGATATGAATGAATACACATACTGGCATTCTTAGCAGCAGGTTCTACAACCGATATATCGGCCACTATACCTCTGAAAGCGACCTCTGCTTCAAGGTGCACTTGCGCGAACCGTGGTCCTTAAGGATCCACATAGATAGCCATATTAGCACCAGAGAAACATGTCAGGCACTTTCCATGGACGACTTGACCAAATTCATCTTATACCTCATGTCCCGCCCACGTTTGTGCTATCCCAGTCTTACACCATTTCTGTTGTTTCAACAATGATCGTGCAATTGTTTGATACTGCGTTGCTCGTTGGAAGACGAGAAGTGAAGCTGACTGTCATTTTTCCGAACATGGCATAATGAGATTGAAGGCAACATGTTACGCACTTAGTCGCTACTAGATGGCCGATGCACTGCTCTATGTGTGTGCCCTGCACGGAAGAATGTATGTCGAAATTTCATCATGAACGTGAACACCAAAAGTCACAACGGAAATGCTTCACCTTTTCTCTCCTCTCCCTAATCTGAAGTTATTGCATAGGTGTCGTAAGTGCACCGCCACAAGGATACAACGACCAGGAATCTGCTTGGAATCAGAGATTAGGTGCTTTTTCTGGAGAAAAACAAAGTTGACAATGACAATGAGCTTTGAAAGGATTGAGCAGTGAGGCTGATCCATACACCATCTACATCAAAATGGCAACAGGTCACCCGGCGGCCCAGGCCTTGATGCTTTTGGAGCTTCACCTACGCCAAAGCACTTACCCCCAATTTCCAATTCCACATATCCGTTACTGAGGTTTATTGCAACATGAGCGTCCAGCTTCTTCACTTGCTTCCAGAGGTATGAGACATAAGTAAGTATATAGAGATTACCACTCCTGCCACTGCAGGCGGGAGTAAGTGTGACAAATCTTAAACTCCAGGAGCACTAGATGGATTTACATAAATACGGTAGCCGTCCATATCGACCAGCTTTTGCCTTTTTTTTTTTTTTTTTTTTTTTTGAAGTATCCCGAGGATTACTCACTCCATTCCCGAGCTTCCCTTCAAGGAAACTCCGCTTGTATTTGATACTTTCCTTCCGCGGTACTTGGTCACCAGAAGTCCGACTTGAAGTGTATCGGGAATTCATCAGGTCTATGGTACTAGCCACTGGATTCATCAGACTCGTCGACCAGATCCATGAAATCAATATCCAAACCAGATCAACATGTTCTTTTCCATCACTTCGCATTCGATTGCTAAGCCTAGTGCCTACCCGGGAAGGGCCGTTAGCCGCATGTTTTACCCGAAAGGGGGGGTTCCACTAACTTGAAAGTTTTGGAGGTCGGCTCATAAGGCGGCCCCACTTCAATGATCGGCTCAACTCCGTTTACAGACCCACTTTTCGCGTCAGAATTCCGTTCGCGCGCCGTCCCGTCTCGGCTCCGATCCCTGGCCCCACCTTCCGGCCTTCGGTGGGTTGGGCGACGATAAAGGGAATTTGACCGAGTGGATCTCGCTTTTCGCTGTCGCCTCAAGGTGATTTTCCACGCAACACCATACAACATGGAAAGGTATGTTCTTTGTGGGATGAAATGCCGTCTAGCTTCTGGTCTTTTCCTGGTACGGCTGCGTAACCAAAGGGGGTGGTCGGCTTCTGGATCGAGGACGGAGCAGTCCCTAACAATCAACGACGCGACCTCCCACGACGTCCCCGTCCATATGATACAATGATCCGCAAAATCATCAAGTGACAGTTTTTTGCGAACAATGCTGAAACGTAGACGCAAGCCTTTTGTTGTACAATAACAATAACATTATGTTTGCTATGTAGGTTTGAGGTCCGTATGCTCCGCATGTTTCTATCTGGGCTTGTTGATCCGGCTCGTCCATGGGCTTGCTTCCTCCGTCCGCGCGTGCATAATACATGGGGAAAGGAATTACAAGATGAAGAAAAGTATAAGACAGCGGAAGAAAAGAGTAGAAGTAGAGGAAGAAGTCGGACGACCCATACGCGTGTCGAGTCGAACTCTCCAAAGCCCATCCATCATCACCCGCCCCCAAAGCCCAAGAGCAACCCAAACTACCCAGTTGACGAACCGGTTGAGAATATCCAGTGGTCCCCACCCAAGCTGCTCTCGTCTAAAGAAGGGGGGAAAGAATAGTTGCCAACCAAAAAGAAACCCAGTCATACATGATCTTTTTGTCCGCCCATTAGTGTCATGAGATAAACGCATTCCTCTAACCCGTGCCAGCCACAAAGCCGATATCTTGCCATCGGTTGCAGCCTGTTGCCCCAAGTATACATCGTCATTAGTTTTCCGAGCCATGTCGTCTCTTGTTTTTGTTCCCCCGTTCATAACTCCCGTGAATGAATCGAGATGTCATCATTACAATATCTTTAGTCGAGGTGAATCGTACCGAAGGCGTCCGCCGGTAGGTAATCTGGGGCCCTGTACCTTCATGGGCACGGCATCCTCGTCGTCATAAATTCGCCACGAGCGGTAAACCCTTAGCCAGCAATGGCTGTCTGTGGACGAATCTGGAGCCAGGAATGCATTTTACAGCGTTCTGGTAAAGTCAATCCATGAGGGATCGGTAACTGCGCAATCTAGCCAACGATTTAAGCCTTGCGAGAACGGGCAGTAGCGGCGCCACTGGGGCGAGCGCCAGAAGCCTTGGCGCTGACGATATCCTTAGGGTCGGGCAACGGGGCCTGGGACATTCTGCGGAGAGACTTGCGACCAGTGGGGCGCTTTCCGTCCTTCTTGTAGGTGGCAAAGTAGAAGGAGATGAAGAGGACAAGGTAAGAGCTGAGGATACCAATGCCGGAGAAGGCAGCAAACTCCTCGCCAGCGCACTTGCCAGCATTGGGCATCCACGAAAAGTAGGTCGATGTGAAATAGGTGTAAGAGGCGAAGTAGACAAAGCCTGTACGCGCAAAGAGTTAGCGTGGGTGACGAGATCGTTGCGAACGAGAAAAAAAAGGCTTACCCAGGTCAATGATGAACTGAATGATCTGGAGACGGGTGATCCACTCCTTCCACCAGATGCGGATGCCGCGCGCGCTCTGGAAGTAGTACCAGTACATGACGACGTGAACAGTCAAATTAAGGGTAATGGGAACCCAGGAGACGGAGGTAGAGCCGATCAGCTGGGTGTAGCAGAGAAGAGCAGTGGCGCCATGGTGGTAGCAGTGGAGGAAAGCTGCAAAATGTTAGAAATCGTTGTACGGCGCGCGACATTCTCTTCTTTAACGGTAACATACTGAGAGGCTTCTTCTTGAGGAACAAGAAGCAGGTGTCCAGGAGCTCGAGGTACTTGGTAAGGTAGTTCAACTGCACAAGGTTAGTGCCGATCCCAAAAGCCCATCAGGCGGTGAGCCGCAACAACATACGTAGTAGAGGACAACCAGGGGCTGAGTCCAGCCGCCGTCGATGTGGCAGATGGCATGGAAGATGCCGCCGCGAACGACAATGGGGAGAAGCTGCTCAATGAAGAGAGCCAGGAGGATAGCGCTGATGGCGGTCAGGTAGAAGTTGTGGATCAGGAAAAGCGTGCGCAGCTTGAAGGGCTCGCGGTTGCGCATGAGCTCGCGACCGCCGAAAATGATGGTGTAGTAGATGACGATGAAGATGCTGGTCTCCTTGAGAGTGGACATGGGCGTCTGGCCGGGGACGAATCTGAAGTCTTCGGCAGGGTAGCCGACGACGGCCTCAAAAGCCTTGCTGAAGATGGGCCATAGATGGATGCCGAACGGGCGGTCGAGGGTGGGCCGGGGAAGGCTGTCGAGGAACGACACGGGGCTTGCGGTCGCCATCTTGAATGCGCGCAGTGAGAGATGTTGACAAAGTTGTTGTGCAACAATCGAGAGCCGAGCTGGACGGGTGCTGGGGGAAAGAGGCAATATAGGGACGGGAGGAGGTGCAGGAGCGCGCGACGGGGTTAAGGGGGTTGGGGGGGGGGCTCCGCGTACGGAATTCAGGGACTTGTGTTTGTCCGGGCGACGCACCCAAGGCGGCAAGATTTTTGTATTCGAGGCTCGGAATCCGCGGGCGGGCACGGGGGAGACTGGACTGGTCGAGATTAGGCCCCCAAGAATCCGCCGCCAAGAAATCGGCCACGCAGTAGTTACGGCCACTTGTGGTACCTCTGCAGAAAGGCGGACAGTGAGCTTCTGAATGTCGCAGTGATCACGATGCCGACGAGACTACATCCAAAAACGAGCGTTATACACAGATTTGAAATATTTGAATTGACAGGTATCAGGGACGTCCACAGAAGAATTACCGATGGTGCGAGTGAATGAATAGCCCAAAGTGGGTTGTAATGACTTCAAATTTTGATGGAAGAAGTCCAAAAGTAGGTACCTTTGTTGACATGATGCAGTATGTACACTAGTAGACTTCAGTTTGAAAAGGTCTAACGTGGCCAACAGCAAGGCCGCCAAATCTCAGCCCTTCGCAAGTCCAATCCATGTAAAGTGTACACAGTTCCTGGCGGCCGCATCCATCATCCATCCTCGCACCAGTCAAAAATCACGTCTTGTTAAAGCAAGTATCACCACTTGGAACTTCCGCCACCCATTTCACCACAGGACAGGGAAGCTGAGAGTGAGGCAAGGCTCCCAGGCCTTCCTTCCGTGTCTGTGAGCAGGTACTTCCGTGTGCACGGGTCTCCATCCCCGGGCCATGGCACTCTACCATAGAAGGTAGTCAGCCGCATGGACGGCACTGTAGTGGTGCCTGGCACTCACTGCGAGTCGTTCCAGGCAATAGGTAGTCAACAAAGTGGAAAAGGGGTAGCCACCCAGACGCGCCTAAGGTAGCCTCGACGACACTTGGCTTTTCATTTCCAGTTCCTGCATGTGAAGTCCCCCAATCTGCCATTGCAGCTCTGACCACCCAATCACATCCAGAATCTCCGTCTTGCCGTGCCGAACTATCCAGTTGTACGGCACCGGTATGGGTCTTAAGACATCAAAATAGCTGGCTGCCACTCATGACCGATGACCTTAACTGATGACATTGATGACCGTGGAGGGGCGCGGCGAAGCCCGTGATGAGATTGCAGTGTAGCTATCTCATATTGGGGTTCATCAATCGTATCTCGTGAGTGTTCCGGTGCGACTCAACGCGGGCTCCATCGAAAGGGGTCAGTCCTACCAAAAATCACCATGCCCGTTGAAACACGGATGAGATCGATAATTGACTCGAGACTTGGGGACACTCTTCTAGGCCGTTCAAGGTCCACCAGATAGCTACAACCCCCTACATCGGATACCTCGTTCATCATGCGGGGCGTCAACTGTCGGGCCGCAACGGGCTAACTCTTGATCAAACGAGTAGAGTCCATGCCGAGGTTTGGGGAAGCACGTTCACAACTTGATTATCAAGAAGAGATATCGTGGAGAAATTGATACGAGGACGTTCATACGCGCAGGTGAGCCCGGACCAACGGTGTGTATAAGAGAAGGTAAAAGGTTTGCCCTCCAGCGATTGGGCTCACAACTTGGGGTGGCCCAGTGCTACGGTAAGACATTAACCAGCGGGTATACAGACTCGGTTTGTTCAATGATTCAATCGAGTCCATTTTTTGAGGTCTCGCGGCTCTCGCCTGTTCAACAACCCCAACCCACCAATGCTTCAAGGCGCGTTTTCTACTCTCTCCGAACTACATACTGGCTTTCGACCGGCCCATCATTCATCCACCCACACATAGTGTACAAGCCGTGAATGCTGAGATGACGGACCATGTGCCGTTCAAAACATTTGGTTGGCAGTCAATTTCTTCCCATGATAGATATGTAGATCCGTAAATCTCCAGCGCCTGCTGGTTCAAAGGTTCCCAATCCTAGGAATTGTCTAAGGAAAAAAGCGAGGGATATCAAGATCAACACGACGATGAGTTGAAGTGAATGTCCGCAACAACGGACACCACTTCGTTGTGTCATAGACCGACACGAGCAACACACACTGGTTGCATCATCGCTGCAGGAAGGCGTTATACCCCACGTTGTTGCTTCGACATCAGCCTCATTATGAAGTTAAAGAAATGTTTCAGCCACTTCAGCCACTACTGGTGCGGAAAAGTGGGCTGTTGTCTGTTCAATTGCATACCAAGCTCATGTACGAATTGGAAAGGTGAGCTTAGGGAGCTTGTGCACTGACCACCAAGTGGCTTGTCCAGGAGTACCTCGAGGGCGGAAAAAACACAGCTAGTCAGCTAACCGGAAAAGACATAGCCGAAGTATTCGAATGGTCCGATGCAGTGCAATACCGGAGACTTCCACTTGGGTTGAACAAGCATTTACGTCGCACACCATCGAACCTCAACCTCGTTAGCATCAATTGAGACCATCATCTCAGCTACCGTACCTCCCTCTACGTAACGTGCGTACTTCTCCATCTCCGCCGCCAATTACCGCCTTGCCTTTTCTTCCCCCCCCCCGGTCTTCTCGCTTCGCAGTTCCAGCTTCTTACCGTGTGCTCTTAATTCTCATCTTCTAGTAGCCCCCTCCGTCCTTCCGTCGCAATGGCCTCCTTCTTCCGCACTGCCGTCCGCGGCCCCTCCGCCGGCCTCTTCCGCGCCGTCGCCCGCCCCCAGCCCGTCGCCGCCCGCGTCAGCCTTTTCAGCACCTCCAGCCGCTTCCGCTCCGAGCACCACGAGGAGACCTTCGAGGAGTTCACTGCCCGGTGAGTCTTGCCCCGGCAGCCCGGCCGCGAAGCTGCTACCTCTCCGAGCCCCGGAAGTCCCAGGCCCGAGCTAGCTACCTGCCTGTCCTAGCTCGGCTTCACTATGACGTGATGCCTCCGACTCTTCCCCCCCTCAGCCTCAGCCAGGGCCACCCCATCAACACCTCTATGCGCCCTCGTGAACTCCCCAATTCCTAACTTGCGCCTTTTCCAACAGCTACGAGAAGGAGTTTGATGCCGTTCAGGATGTTTTCGAGCTTCAGGTATGCACCACCTTCCATGCTCCCGTCTCACTTCGACTCTCACGGCCTACTCGACGACGCACCTTTTGCATTATCGATCAAGGGACAACAATGATTCAACTTGTTGGGTAGGGGTAAGGGAAGGAAGAGACTGTGTGACTGACGCTGGCATACCGAAATTAGCGCAACCTGAACAACGCTTTCGCTTACGATCTCGTCCCTTCCCCCTCCGTTCTCGCCGCCGCTCTCAAGGCTGCCCGCCGCGTCAACGACTTCCCCACCGCTGTCCGCGTCTTCGAGGGTAAGAGCCCCCGTCCTAACATTTGTCACTGCCGCCACCGAAACCCGCACACATCGCAGCCATCGACGACCAGCCTATGCGTCAATACCAAGGTGTCCGATAAGCTCGGGTGGATAGGGAACAGCAAAACGGTCTTTCAGGAACCAGAACCATGCTGACGACGGGCTTCCGTCATAACAGGCATCAAGGCCAAGGTTGAGAACAAGGGCCAGTACGAGCAGTACCTCGCTGAGCTCAAGCCTCTTCGTGAGGAGCTCGGCATCACCCTCAAGGAGGACCTCTACCCCGAGGAGGCCAACTAAATTTAGGACCGTCGTAATTTAGAAGATGCCATAAGAATCACCATTCAAACGATCCATCAATTACCCTTCCAGCATCTTTGGAAGTTGAGAAGAGGGGAAATGAGAGTATTGTGGTGAGAGGAGGGGGAGTTTGTGGAAGGGGAAAGCGGAGCGTGTGTGCTTGGAACCTATGAATAGGAGAGAGCACTATACGCTAATTCCCTGGTACCATACATGTTTCTTTGCCTAGAGAACTCCTATTGCAGGAAATAAGGGGGTAGTATATCCGAAGAGGGCCTTAGAGAGAGGAATCGAACGAGTTCAACCTGTTTGTCGAGTTGGATACGATGACAGTTGGTTGTGTCACGGATTGTGTTTGGACGATGAATATCTCATGCCATGACCGTAGAAAGTAGCAAAATAGATGTATTCGAAAGGCTGTAATGAGTTTACCGTAGACTTCACAAAAGCTAGATGCTGGTTACCATTCTTCATTCAAATTGACCAGGTTCACGATTTTCATACCTGGTTCTACCTGGATTTTATTGCCTTTATCCCTAGCAGGTTGAGTGAGTATCTAGAAAACGGTAACCCCAATGCGCCGAGTGCCTCAACCTCTTTCATGTGCATCCCTCGATCCTCAAATGCAACCTGGTTACCTTGAACCATACAAAGGACAATGAAAACAATCGATCTAATGAGCCGTAAGATAGGGAGATGGGTATTGTGAAAAGATATTCCTACCGGCTGGAGAGAAAGAAGAAGAAGAAGAAGAAAAAGGCCAATAGGTAACAAAGCAATAAGCAAACAACCGTTTCACCAACCATTCCACCGTTGTCAAGGACATAAGGAAAGCTGACCTGAAGCGATCTCAATCGTTGGCTTGTCTCGGTCCTTTGTCACGAACCAGGAAAACAGCTGCAGTAATCAACCGACAGCCGAGCCATTCTTTCCTTCCCTCAAGCACCCAACGATCTCGCTCTCCGACCCCCGGTTTCGGTTGTGACTTCTAATCGTCTTGCCCTAATCACGAAGGTGCCCCCACCGGGGGTTAAAGTTTATGCCCCCATTTCCTCCACCATTCCCGTTTCCATCACTAGCATTACCCGGCGCAGGACTATTGCCCCGACTACTTGCCGCCGTATCCGTCGTGTTGCCAGCACCTCTACGGTTGACCGTCGTCCTGGGACTCATGATGCCCGTCGTCGTGCGCGGACTCCGCGGGACACTAGCCTGGCGGGTCTCGCGGCGGCCGCTCTTGAGATGTCTTAGCTCGGCGCGGGCGTTTTCCAGCTCGCGCTCACGGTCACGAATCATGGCCCGGTACTCGTCGTTTTGTTTGCCTAGGAACTTCTTCTCCTGGTCGGAGTTGATCTCATTGACGCGGACGACGTTGTCGTCGGCTTTGCGCTGGAGTTCTTCAATCTTGCGCTTCAGCGCCGTGTTCTCATTGTTCAGCTCCGTGTGCGCGTTGGAGGCGTTTTGATAGGCGGAGCGGCTGTACTCCATCTCGTTGGTCGCGGTGGCCATGCGCTTTTCGAGAGCGGCGAGCTTGCTTCTAGTGTCCTCTAGCTCCTGCTCGGCGCGGGCGAGACGGGCTAGGTGTGGGTTGGAGGAATCAGCAAGTTGAGATTGGGCGTCGGCAATTTTGGTTTCCAAGACTTTCATTTCTGCCTTGGCTGTGTCTAGGTCGTGTTTGCTGGCTTCGAGCCGCTTCTGTACTGCAGCGTTTTCGTCGACGGCCTTTTTGCAAGTCTTCTCGAAGGTGCTGCGGTCGTGCAGGGCTTCAGTGTACTTGGGTTGTAGAACTTCCACCGTGCGCTTGTAAGACGCCAGTTCGACGCCGAGGTTCCTGGCTAGCAGTCGAGTTCGATTCTCATCACTGGCTTCCCGTTCGAGATCCGACTCCAGTTCGAAGATCTTAAAGGCCAGGGCTTCAAGCTGCTCTACCGAAACTTCCATGAACTGTGTTGCCGGTCTACCGGGATATTTTTCCAGAGTGCTTCTTAGCAAATCGGTCATTTGAGACGGTGTGCCGTTTCGAGGAGTCTGGGTCTGAGAAAGCCTTACTCTCTTGGGCGTGCCAGCATCAACTTCGTCCTGTTTTTTTTCCCTTCGTTTAGCGAGTTGATCCTAAGATAACCATGGTGGGCACGTTTCGGTTTCTGACACTTACCAAGTGGCGCTTACGGCCGGTGGCATCTCTTGAAGGAAGTACATGTTGAGTCGACTCCATACGGTTCTGCGAGCTCAACCAGTCATCAAAGACATCCGCAGGGAGAACTTGTGGCTCCCATGATAGATCATGATCGGGGTTCTGCAGAAAGCAGGCGAAAAGCTCGGCTGCCTTGTGCGGTTCATGTCCTTCATCTGGTGGGTTTACGAACAGCCTTCTCGCCGTTGGAGTGGCAATCGCCAGGGTAAGAGCGTTTTTCTTTTCCAAATCGCTCAACTCATGCTCCATCTGCTGGAGTTGTAGGTCAACATGCTCTAGACTGTAGGAGACTACGAGAGACAAGACAACAGGAACCAGGCCGGGCGGGAATCTGGTTGACCTTGTCTCGTGATCAAACCTGATGGCCACATCGACAGGTCCACGTACGGCGGACAAATCCTGGTCTGGCGAAGCGAGAACCACCCACAAACCGTCGGAAGCCTCATCAGACGGGGTTGACTCGTCACGCCCAAGAACATTGTAGTTGAAGCCAGGTGTAGAAACCACAGCTTCCAAGTAATCAAATGTCCTACCAGGTCGGCAAAGGATGAGAACTCGGAGATTCAAATCACGAGCGAGATGAAGAAACTCATAGATGAACGAAAATTTTGTGTTCGTTCCCGTCGCGTGCTTCATCATCTCGGTGGGTGTCATGGCCGGGATGGTGTCCGCGTAGGCTGGCAAGTCGCAGAGGTCGGCCAGTCGTTGGAATATGGAGTCGATTTTTGCGGTCAGAAAATCGTTGGGCATCGCCGGATGAGATTCGCTAAAGGCCTGGCAAAACTCCTGCATAGAAGCTTTGTTCTTGTCGATCGTTTCGAGGTATTGGGGACGCGAATTTGCCGCCATCGGTAGGGTGACCAAGAACTCGCTCAACTCAGATTCTTCCTCGGGTTCCTGGGAGTCCATATTCCGAGATATTTGAGACATGTCGTCGTTGTTTTGATCGAAATCGACGTGTTCACGGGGCGGTAGTGCATCGTGGTCGGCTGAGGCATCTAAATCAGATGGAGCAATAGTAGCAGGCAACTCGTTGGATGCCACATGCTCTTGGGTTTCTACCGGCTCGGGAGAGATATCGAGCTCTGTATGTGGGGCGTGGGGAGTGAATGGGAGTCCCAGACTACGTCTAAGCTGCTCAACAGCAGAAATGGTCTCACCGTTGGAAATGACGGACCCCGGATGCAACCCAGGACTCGGATCGATGCTGTGAAGAATATTACCTGATGGCTGAATCTCCCACGGATCCGTCGGATCAGGGTGAGGCGCAGGGAAAACGTTGGCTGGTGAAATTATGGTTGGCTGCTGTTCCTGCTCCTCAGGTTGGGTGGTGTCGAGGTCGGGATGCGGCGCTGGCGAGGTTAAGAGTGCGGATGGCTCATCTGACTGCTTGCCGTAGATCTGGTCTCGCAACCGTTGCAGCGTCTCCGTTGCGGAGAGCTGGGGCGTTTCCGGCGAGAACGCGTCGTCCATGCTAAAGTTAGCTGTCTCGCAGTCTTCGTTTTGAATAGGAGTGAGGGGTGTTGAGGAGGTCGCAGTGGGCAAGGTAGCAGGGGCAGGGGTATTCGAATTATGAGATAAGTCTTTTGGGTCGATTCTGTCTGTGCTGTCAGAGTGCGGTTGCTTAGTGAGCTGGATTATGTCGAGCGTGCGCAGCATCATGTATGGTGGTGCTGACAACTCTTTGGTGCCACTGACCTTTTTCTGCACGGTGGCCGGAACAGTGTCGCTGTCGGTCTGGCTGTGGTAGGCCGCCCGTTCGGATTGCGTAGAATTCTCGATCGAGCTGGTGAACTCGATTTGGCTGCGTAGTTGCTGTGAAATGCCGCTTGAAGAGAGCAGAACCTGGGCGAATTGCAAAGGAGCGCTGTTTGAAGTAAGGGATGAAGCGTGGGTAGGAGTTGTGGTGTCAGGCTTGTCGTTCGCCGGGCCCTGGCTGCGGTTATGAAAGTTTTGGCTCACGATTTGGCTAGTTGAGACGACAACTCCCGACTTGGATGAGGCCTCTTCTAGTGACCAATCGAAATCGATTTGCGTCAAGAACTTTCCGACCGGGGAGCTGCTCTCGTGTGGTTCGAGGTCTTGCTGCGATGAGGCCTCCTCGGCTGCGGTTTGCTGGTTGTCGAAGGAGATGATGGATTGGGGTTCGATAGCCAAGTGACTTTCGATCTGTCTGAACGGAACCTCGGCCCCAGACTGCGTCGACTGAGCCTGGGCAGACGCGAAAGAGGAAGACGGAATAGCAGCGTCTTCGGAGTTCGGATCTTCCACCGCTGAATGGTAGTCGCTAGCTTCGTCGTCGGGCAGAAGTTCTGGCTCTTTCTGGGCTTCCTGCAGGGATGGCAAGGAATCACCCACGTCTTGTGAGTCGGGAATCGTCCGTTGGCTGATCTCCTGTGGCGCTGCAGGTTCCTGATGCTGCGAGGCGGGCTGGGAACTGCCTTGCGATGAAACAAAGACAGGTACGAAATCGGACGGGTCGACGGTGGGTTCGCACGGAATCTCAACAGCAATCTTGACGGGCTTTACGCGAGGATTGGCGCCCGTGTTGCCGTCCTGCGTGCCGGCGGTTCGAGCTCGCTTCCGCGGCTGCTGCTCTTCCTCTCGATCCAACGAGAGTCTGCGCTTCTGGCGGCGGTGAACAATTGGCAACTTGTCCTCCTCGTCTTCCTCGTCCTGGCTTTCGTTCTCTTGCTCGGTGTTGCCGTCGCTTTGCGGCGCCTTGTCCTTGATCAGCTCCCAGTGAGCAATTGCAGCTTCGTTCACGTATTCAGCTGGCTCCTGTAAGCATACTGGTGATTAGTTTATTGCATGTAAGGACATAATATGGAGTCAAAAACATACCCAAGTCGGATCGAAGCTCTTCCCAGTGACGGGGTCGTTGGCCCAGTCGATCAGGTAGAACAGCCGTCCGTTTTCGGTCTTCTCCCCAGCAATGCGCCGAACTGAATAGAATGTTTCCGACGCTTCCTTCTTCGGCTTCTTGGCCTTGGTTGGCTTTCCGCGGCGCCCTCTGGGCATGACCCTCCCGGTTTTGACCTTGTCGGTGGTGTCCTTCTGGGGGACAGGGACACGGCCGCTGCGCCTGAAAGGTGTCAAGGGCGGATCTGACGGCGCGCTTTTGTTCGCGATGCGCCGTGAAGGCTTCGAATTGGGACAAAGCGATCCGATTCGTTCGACGGCCCGTCTCGCGTTCTCATGGAGCTTTCTTCTCCAAGCTTCGTGCGCTGCCACAGCGTCGTTGTTGTTTTGGTCCTGGTGTGGTTCGGCAAGGCTGACATGGCCTCCTGTAGCCGCACTGCTTAGACACAAGTCAGCCACTGTTCGTTCCATTGCGGCCGCTAACAATGCAACTCCACCGCAGAAGGCACCATAATTGGCCAGCCTTTCGCTGTCAGGGGCAGCAGGGTAGCTCGCTACAGGGCCCGGCAGTGCAGCACCGACAAGCCCACCGAGCCACTGTAATTCTGAGCCATTGTTGATCTCCCTCTCACCCAACAACATCCTCGTGCGAATAGCTTCGACACTTACCTTGATGATTGCTGAGCCTTTTCAGCCCGCGAACTCTTCGGCATTGTTGTCTACTTATGGTTGTTCCGAGTTGATATTTTCGTCTGCTCTGTTATGAACGTTCAATCCCAAAGTTGGATGAGTTTGGAAGAGCAAAAGACAGAAAGGAGGAAAAGAGTATGGCTTCGCAATTCACATTTGAACCTCCACTGACACTTGTCTTAATCCATATCCTATCACGCCTATTCAACCGCTTGTTCAAGGCAGAGACAATATCTAAGCCCACTTTGTTTCCATCCGAAACATCTCGCAGCCCCGAGATCAGATGAATGACCGCGGCAGAGGCTGGGCCTTTGCAGGACCATCTATTGTCCTTTCTCCTTGCTGAACAGAATTTCCCTTGACATCGCATGGAAGACCCATCAACATGGTCGCAATTGATCAAGCACTCGATTTGTCTTGGCGTACATTTGACCAATTCCCCAAGCGGTCGGGCAAAGTCGTCGAGGCCAGTCACCGGTGTGTATCTGACAGAGGATGCTTCTCACGTCAGTCAAAGGTTTTGGCGGGTTGGTGTCGGCCTGGAAGTGACGAGGACGCGGTATCGTCCATGGCGATATTCACTCGAGACTTTCATATCGTGCTGCGCATCAACACAATGAGCCACGTAATTCGAGAGCAGCGTCGTCCTCGAGAAATACCCTTCATGTTAACTTGCGAACACGAGCTCGGAGGTTCAACATCGCGACTGTCTTTCAATGCCGTGCTTCACCTATATGCCACCCTGTCTTACTTTGTCGAGCTATCCCACTGTGATTCAAGTTCCGCCTCTAAGAAGCTACTCTGGGCAAACACAGTGCTGGAAGCTGGACACTCGGAGGTCGAAGGTTTGCGGACTATATTCGACACTCACACCCAATTGGATACTGCCAATTTTGAACGTGCTGGTCGGCAGTAAGCTTTCCCAGCTTCTTCTTGGGCACCGTGCTGTCCCATGGAACACACACGGCAGTGATAAGGAGCGAGGTACACTTAAGTCACTGATCAGGGGTCGTTATCACAGACTTAGGAGGGTCCGGACAGCCGGTACCACCTCAGTACCCCGATGCTAACCAAGTCGAAATCTGTGGATCTACACTTAAGAAAACGAACTTCCTATTTCGGTTGGAGGTAGATTTTGTTGCATTCAATGCCCATGAAAGCTACAAATTTTCTCCAGCCTCCCGTCACATAAAAGACATGGATGCCACTTCCCAGTCGGTGGAGTTTCAACTTCCCAAGATAAATACACTCAGTGCTCTTCGGTCAGAGTATTCCGATCTGAGCTCCTAGCAGCTTCCTGGTTTTCACGATCAACCACCATGATGGGTCTCCTCTGGTGCGCTGTGATGGCGATGGCCGTTGCGCTGGCCTTTGCGCACCCCAAACAACCTCCCACATACCATCAAGACGATGTCACCTATCCTGGCTCTGTTACTGTTTTCACTGTTCCTGCCGCTTTCCCAACTTCAGTGTTCTCAAGCTACTATGGTGAGAATGACATGATGAATGCCTTATCCCGATGACCAAGAGCATTCTCTAACTCTTATGTCCGCGTCTCAGTCAAGCCAGGTCCAACAAACCAGCCGCAACCCGTCTTATACGATCCTGTTCTGAATATCACTTTCCCATTCAATCTTACGGACCCAAAGCACGTTCCGGATTCTAATGATGACCCGGTGATCTTTCCTCAGCCCATCGCCAATATCTCAGATGCTACTGGGGAGGCTATCGCGTCAGCAGCTGTTTCTGAGATTTCGCGAATCTTCAAGAGCAACAATACCGGAGGATCGAATACATGCTCCAAGTGCATTGCCGCTCTGGCGGTGGGCCAGATGGTAGCAAGATTGGCTCCCACTCATTTTCCAAGCGGCATGGTATCGCTATGTCACTCGCTCAAGTTCAGCACATACAGCAGTTGCGAACTTACATATGGTCCCAACGGTTCCGGCGCTTCGTGGGCACAGATACTCGCAAAGGCCGATGTAGCGGGACTTGATGGAAAATACATCTGCTCGTATCTTCACAAGAATGTCTGCGAGTATCCCACTGTGACTTCTGTCAAGGCCGTATTCCCCAAGCCCAAGCCTAAGAAGCCTGCTGAGCCTCGTCGGAGTGGAAAGAAGGTCAAGGTGTTACACCTATCAGATCTACATCTTGGTGAGGCGGTCTGCTGAATCATTTTTAGGTTGGCCATTATGCTAACCACCTTTAGACCCTCGATACAGCGTCGGATCTGAAGCGAACTGCACATCCTACATGTGCTGTAGATACTCTGAACCACCAGCAAACGGTACGGTCCCCGAGATCTCCGTATCGGCTCCTCTTTTCGGCTACTACAAATGCGACTCCCCTTTCTACCTCGCCCTGGCCGCTCTGCAATCCATTGGTCCCTTGACGGGCACTTCCGCGAAGAACCCACCCGCCTTCTCACTTTACACAGGAGACTTGATCGCCCACGACGATGAGAACCAGGCGTCGCGCGCCTACGTCGAGGCCACCGAAGTTGCCATCTGGGAGGCTTTCAAGGCCTATATCGGCGGACCTATCTATACTGCTCTAGGGGTACGTTCAACTCGTAATCGTTGAAGTCCATTCTATGTATACTGAATCTGCATGAAACTCACCACCTAATGCCACCTAGAACCACGACACAACCCCAGCCGACTACGAAGCCCCTCACGCCATCGACAACAATTCCACCCTAGGCTCTCAATTCTCCTGGAACTACGCCCACGTCTCTTCCCTCTGGGCGCACTACAATTGGCTCCCCTCTTCCGTCGCCCAACAAGCCTCTACCCACTACGCCGCCTACGCCGTCTCCCCTCCCCACCACCCAAACCTGAAAATAATCACTCTCAACAGCGACCTCTACTACCAGCACAACCCGTTCGCCCTTTTAAATGCCTCCAACCCCGACTACAGCGGCATGTTTTCTTTCCTGGTCACCGAACTCCAAGCCGCCGAAGACGCCGGCCAGCGCGTTTGGATCGTGGCGCACATTCCTACCGGCTGGGACGGCGGAAGCGCTCTCCCAAATAGTGCGGATTACTTTTACCAGATTGTGGAAAGGTACTCGCCGCATGTGATTGCGAATGTTTTCTTTGGGCACTCGCATGAGGACCAGGCCACGATATACTACCGTAACAACGGCACGGCGCAAACTAGAGAAGAAGCGCTGGTGACGGGTTGGGTCGGCCCCAGTTTGACACCGCTGCAGAACTTGAATAGCGGGTATAGGATGTATGAGGTGGACACGGGCAGTTGGGAGGTTATGGAGGCCTTTACGTTCTACAGTGATGTTGGGAGTTATACCAATCTTTCATCATCCGTTGACGGAGAAGGAGACGGAGGACAAGGAGAAGGACCGGTCTTCAAACTAGAGTACTCAACTCGTGCTACCTATGGGCCGGCGGTCAACTGGCCGAGCGACGCACCGCTTAATGCCACGTTCTGGCATGGGGTGACGGAGGCGATGGAGCGGAACAGGACGCTTGCTGAGCTGTTTACGCAGTATCAGGGGAAAAGTAGCGCCAAGAGTAAGAAATGTGAGACGGAAGAATGCACGAACGCAAAAATCTGCTATATGCGCAGTGGGAGCACGGCGCTGGGCAAGCAGTGCAAGCAAGGGTATGGGAGTGTGCAGTAAGGCAGTGTCGGCTCTTTGTGGTGCGGCTGGATAGCTAGAATGTTGTTTTAGGGAGAAGCAAGGTGATAATTCGGAGGCAGAACGAGTGATCTTGAAACGGGAAACAGAAGTCATTGGGTGTTTGTAGGGGGTTGAAGCCAACGGTGAAGACAAGTATGGTCGTTCATTCTTGGCATCACAGTTGGTTTGTTTACTTACCCCTGATGTTCGCCCCACTCATATCCAGCAAGCCAGCCACGCTGAGGCACAACAGTTAGGTTCGCCGAGGGAAGGAATATCGCACAAGCATGGCAGCAATGAACAGCGTGGATCGACTTAGTCGGACTTGTTGGAATCTAAGACATTGATGAGTACACATAGATCCTGTTAAAAGTGGGCTGAAAAGGAAGCACAAGTCTATCATTTGATCATGAGCATAAAAACAGAGAGGTATAAGGAAACAGAATGCCGCAACCAAGCCCAAAAGTCGCTGTTCCCAAACTTTGAACCCTTTCAAGCATAACTTCATTCACCGGGTTCCTTTGTGTCCAGCATTGACCAGCAGAAGCCTTCCTTCGATGCACACATTCAGGTTGATCCCCCATTTCACACAGCCAGTGTCAACTAAAAAGAGAATCGCCACGCCTTTCCAGTTCCAGTACCACCCCATTACAGAAGTCCTTTTGATATCCGCCAGTTTTGAGCTTTTGTACACCGGTAAGAATACACCCCCATGGAAGTTGTACACTGAGTTTCGATTATCAGCAGTCAAGCCAACGATGCGTGGTTTGTACCTGATTGTAGGATGATGTCGTTGATTACGTCTCAAGGACATCTCTCTCCTCCTCGGTCGGAAGCGCAGGCGTCTCATGAGTCGGGAAGTCTTCCCCCTTCTCAAAAGTCACACCTGGTCCCTGATAGCTCGGTGGGGCGGTGGTCACGCTTGGCTGCGTCGGCAGCGGGCTCGGGGTCTTTTTCTCGGTAGTCGTCAGCGGCACGTCCCCTCCCTCTTCGTCAATCGTCAAGATTCTGCGTACCGAGTTCGTTCCGGTTGTGTTCGCTCTCAAGGGCTTCGGACTAAGCACCGACGGGTACTGGGTAACATAAGTTGGCGATCTTGCATCTTCGGACCCAAAGGGAAGTGCGCGAGCCGGGATCTCTTTACCCGCTGTCCCAATTGCCAATCCACCAAAAGCAGGACGCTCACCGAGCTTCTGCAACGTTTCTTGCTGGTGTATCGCCAGCTTCTCAAGCTGGACTGCGGGATTCTGCAATCATCGTTTCTGTTAGCCAAACCACAAGGGTGTTAGAGGCTGCTGGATATTAGCAACTTCTTATGCATGCATGTATACATACCCATTCGGATTGCGCTGGTACGCCGGCGGCAGCAGGGAACTGCCGCTCATTCTCACCTCTCGAGGATCTCGGTCCTTGGATGGGCGCGGGGGTGACAGGAAGACTTGGACGGTCATCCTCGGTCGGGAAGTCAGTCACCCTAGAGCTCTTCCTAGATCTGCTCTGAGCGCGACCAGGACTGGTCGGTCTCGACGTGGCCGCTGCTGAGCCCTTGCTTCCGGAGCGGCGGTGCTTCTGCAAAGCGTCGACATAGCGGTTGATTTCGGGTACATCATCCCACGCATTTCCTCTAGTTGTGAAAGAGGTCCAGGGGTTAGCACTTGCGGGGGTTGTTGGGGTGACAGCCTCGCTCTTCGGCTCAAGGGTGGGCGATGCTGTAGCTGACGCCGCAGCGGACGGCGTCGCAGTTGACGCAACCGAGAGCTTTCCCTGCTCAGGAGGTGGTTCCGGGAAAACCCTAGTGGGTTCGGGTGCTTGTTTCTCCCAGGGGAAGATTGGGGCAGGCTTTTGAGTGGGCGCCGCCTCGGGCACCTTGTACCACATATCCTTGGGCGGACTGGGATACCGCGCAGGTGGGATGAACTGTTGAGTGTTGGAGGACATCGTATAGTGCGTCTGTGGGAAGTTGGCAGCCTCTGGCTTGGAGCCAGCCGGAGGAGAGTGTCTTGAAGCATCCCAGGATGCTCCGTGACTGGTGTAGGTGCTATGGGTATACTGGCTCTGCGTCTGGTGGCTCTGCGTCTTATGGCTCTGGCTGGGAGGGAGTTGGAAAGAAACGCTGCGCTGTTGTTGTTGTTGTTCACCCTTTACGAACTTCTGGACAACGTCGGTAGTCTTGTTCGACTAGTGAGTCAAGTCAGTATATCGTTGATTGAAAGATGGATCGTCTGGGAAGCAGTTCGGACACTCACGTTGCCGCGGTAGTGGCGATCATAAACAGCCCACCATCTACCGATCATCTCGTCGTAGGTGCTGCTCCCGGTGGTCTGGGTGCGACCCTGAACCCACGGTTTCTCTGAGCCAATGAAGTGAAGCAAATTGATGCTCGATTGAAAGTGCTTGTAGGCCGGGATGTACTGGTAGTGGGCGGAGGGCGTGACATTGTAGGTGAAGCTGAGGCGGTTATAGGTGTTCCTGAAATGCATGTTCAAGAGACCCTGATCGGCACCGTCGAAAGAAATTCCCCTCTCGGCCATAGCCAACATGGCGTAGTAATCACCCATGTTGGGAGACAAGACCATGACACCAGTGTTGAACAGGTCGGGCCAACCGATATCGGGAGCGGCGGAGAAGGCGTGGGGAAGGTCGAAGAGTTCATCGGGAGCTCTGTAAGCAACAACGTCGGCATCGATATAGACGATTTTGCGGAACTGGGTCTGCTTCCAAAGGTTGATCTTGGTGAAGGCCGAGTGCAGGTCAGGGCGGTTCATGAGGAACAGGTTAGCCGGTCGGTCATTTTGAATGGTTTCGACGGGAATGACATAGTCGTAAACGGTCTTGTCGGGAGTTAGCCATGCGTTTTGCTTGGAGATTGAAGTCGGACTGTGGTGGACAGGCTTACTTGGAGCTGTTCCACAACCTCGTTGGAGATATTTTCGGGGGTGATCAAGATAGCGAGCTTCTTGTGGGTGCCGGAATCACGCAGCGAGTGCGCAAGAACCAGAGCACCGGGAAGGTATGCGTCATTCAAGAGAAGCTATTCGAAAGGGACATGTCAGTTGTTGCGATTCTTCGTGGAGAGTGTCTGAGTCTGGTTGCGGCAGGTGTACTGCAGGCAGAGACTGCCATTGGACAATGCAACAATTCATAGAACTACCAAGTACCGCCAGCCTCATGATACAGACAATGCGCGGGGAAGGGGGAAAGAAGAGAAGAATGGGATCACAAAGAGGAGTAGACTTACACTAGCATAAACATCCTCTCCTTTGGTGATCGCCATCTTGACAATCACAAAATTCGAGTTGCGGCCGTTGGACTTTGAGGGCGGAAAATGGCCAAAAAGGAAAGATAGCAAATATTCAAAAGTCTGCTTGGTGCTTGCTTGGTACTTGCTGGCGCTTGAGAAGAAGAGAAGGACGGAGCAATCACACAAATGTGGAGCGCACGCCAGGCGGTTTTATAAGTAAATGATCTTTGGCGACAAGCCTGTGATTCGGACGGAAGATATCAGAATACTAGTGTACAAGCAGTGGACAGTCAGTCGAAGGAGGCTGCAGTGTGGCAAGGTCAAGAAGTTGCAAGGTTAATCTGGGATGGCCGAGATGGTCGAAGAGGTAGGTGGGAGTAAGGCACAGACGAGAGAGCCCCAAGCATGATGATCTGACGACTGGGAGCTTGGATTCCACCTCCATCTCGTCTGGCTGGCCTGGTGGAAAGGCGGGAAGTGGAAGGAAGGGAAGCGCTGGGACGAGAAACTGAAGCAGGTACGTACACAGTGCATTGCGCACTCAATGCCATCATCAGGCGGGGCAACATTGCTGCGAGGGGTAAGTAGCTTGCCCAGCTACTACGCTGCGCAGACCCGGACCCTTTTCGGTGCCTCCAGTCCCTCGGATTAGGCTGCCCCCGGTCACGGTGCGCATTGGGATTGAGGATGAGAAGTGGACTCTTCGGCAACTGAACGAAGAGATGACTGGAGTCACTGTTGCAAGGGTCTCTCCTTGGGCCTCTTCCTTTCTTTCTTCTTCCAACCACCCGGACGAGGACCTTGATACAACCTCCGCCTCTCCTCCCCCTGGCTTGTGATAGCGCAATGGCATTCCCTCCGTCGCTTCAACGCCATTATCAATTGCGTCCCAGTCGCAGCGCGAGGGCTCCATTCAGAGCGGGCCCATTATTCTGGCGACAGTTGAATGGAACAACGGCCGATGTCGATGAAGATGACACGGGCTGTAAGCCTTTGGGCAAAAAAGACGACCACTCAGCTATGACTCCCCATCGATATCATATCTATCAGCGAGAGCTCCCGATGCTCCGACAGGCTGTGGACCCTGAGCCTCACGGCATCAATGCATGTTGACCTGTGGCCCAAAGCATCAAGGGCAACACAACGACCTCCCATCTCGATATTGGCAGTCGTCAGCTCCTCCGTGAACAATCATGACAGGCCGCGGTTGGGCATCCTCGATGATAGGAAGAACACAGTTCGACACAATTGGATGCCAAGAGCCGTTGTGAATGTCTCGCTGCTGGTGATACATGGCGTTTGCATCCAGCATCTCTGAAAGGGAATTGGCTTGCATTCTGCAGTATTACCCCATGGATAGGCCTACAAATCAAAAGTCTTCGCCCTTATTGATCAAATAACTTTCTTCATCACCATGAACACCTTCAGCATCTTGGAGTGCCAGTTTCAGACCGCTTCCGTCCTTCCACTGCCACTCATAGCCTAGCTTGCCCAGTGCCCAGTGAGGCGAAAACCGTCAAGCTGCGAGCTTGCCTGATGCCGCCCACTCACCATCTTTTTTTGTGATATATTATACAGTGAGATACACTCTTCGTCGTTACACGGGTCAAACAGATTGACAGGACGTCGATAACAGTTCTACTGTTTTGCCTCCACTCGATAAGGTCGACCATCGCTGACACTTAATTTGCCCTACGGTGTCGTACATGAGCTACCCCGCATCAATTCACATCTGATCCATCCCCGCACCACCTAGCCAGGGCTCTTGTTGTGCCTGCCTAGCTCTCCCCGCAGCAGCTGAATTCTGCTTTCGAAGGCAAATACTGTACAAACTCGGGCCATCCGTTTCTAGGTTCCTTGGGGAAAACAGGCATAGTCTGTAGGTAAGTACGAAGTGTACCACAATATCTTTGCCCGCTAGAAATTCTATGCAAAACAATGCTTTTGAATGTCTCCATTCTCCAGCGCCCTATGTGAGATGAGAAAAAAAATAAAAAAAATTGGGTGGGAAAAGAGGGAAGCTCCACAGAAATAAAATGTACAGTAGGTACTTACCTACCCCGGGATGGTGGCACTTCTCTCCACTCCTTTTTGCTGGCATAAGAATGTACCGCAAAGACTCAGGCCATCCGTTTTTAGGTTCCCTGGAAACCAGGTATAGTCTATAAGCATACTGCGGCATTCATGCTCTCCGGAAATTGTATGCAAGATGGTGATTTGAACATCCACACCCTCCAGCGCCCTTGAAAAGATAGATAGAAAAAATAGAGCAGAAGAAGGATCGAGTTTACAGTGTTCCGGGGTAGCAACACGTCTCCCCTACTCTTTTTCCCGGGTTTACATGCAAATATTCGGGCAGTAAGTATACTTACAGATTGTGTCTGATTTCCTTGGAACCTAAAAACGGACGGCCCGAGTTTATACGATAGGGTTGCACTCAAGGGACCTCAAATACTTACTGTGGTATGTCGACAGCTTGCCTTCCAAGTAGGAACAGGTCTCTCAGTCCTATCTACTCATGCCCGATTCTTCCCTCGACGAGCTTCTCAGTGGTGGGTTGCAGACAATATTTGATTGATACCGCTGGGACTTGTAGCATTAGATCCGAGCCTTACGAGGAAGAATGGCCTAACCCGAAGCTTTCCCCCTGATCCAGAACGAGGAGAAGCTCTAGAACATTGACCAACTCACTCTGCATGTCCAATTGCAACGACAGCCTTTTTGAAGTACGAATGAGATTCTGTCGTCTT